GCCTCCCTCAGTCTTCTCACCTGTAAGCTGCATTGTGTTTTTCCTCGGGCTCACCGAATTTTTAGCGGATTTGCACTTATCAGTTCTGTGGCGATTGATATTTGATACATTCCTTAAATTCGTATATTGCTCATCCTGATAACCTGTTACTGGATAACACCCAAAGGTGTATAAATCAACAAACGAATACGAAGCGTCGATCACGTTTACATATAGCACAACACACAGATCACAAAACCATAGGCACACGAAGTGAAAATGTTAAGCGTACTGGAGATCTCAGCATATCCATCCAAAATAGGACCAAAAACAGTTCAATACTTTGATACATTAAAATAAAACTTACGCATTATTCATAGAAGCCCATTCATCAGGTGACATACCACTTGGTACAACACGATAATCATGTAATGTATACCATTCACTACGTAGACGACATGTATCAGGGAAATAATCTGTATCCACTGGTAAACATGCTGGAACTATCAATGATTTCCAGTCAACACCTGTAGGGCAGTAAGTAGAGAGAAAAAACGAAAAAAAAAATCAATTTCCAGACATACACACACACACAGAGACAGACAGACCGATAGACACAAGACAATGAAGGTTAAAACCATGTCAAAATGTCATTTTTTTTTACCACATCTACTCATTAGAAAATTAAGTAGTATGGAAAAAAAATTTGATATGTGGAAAAAAACTAACAACAAAACAAATATTTACAATACGTATATATATGTACACATTGACTAATTAAAACTAACACATTTATTCATACACACACAGATAATATACATTGAAGTGCAAACATGAAAGAAGGAAATTTGGATTTTGAATGAGAATAACAAAATCGATCAGGCAAGTAGATGAAAACAATTGCTGGTGGAAAGGAAAAAGAAAAGAGAACGCTTAAAACATGAAGAAGGGGTATTCATGTGAAAATATTGATTCAGTTGACTAGATCCGTATGTTGGGGACGTTAGATGATCCCCAGAACTCATTTGATTAAGGTCTTAAATTAGGGTTTTGTGGGTTCGCGTGTGAGCTGATCGGTTAACCTTGAGATTATGTTTGCTACTCCGAAATCCTTGACTGTTATTGGTTGATATATTATTTTAGTACGCTATTTTGCAGCTCTACCAAGGGCGTTTCTATCATAGTATAAATAAGTTTGATTTGTGTGCTTGGATACATCGTATTTTCTGGGTGCTTGTACAATACACTTTCTACTATTTGTCAAGACTTCTTCCTCTACTTAGTAGGACCTTTGGACACTCAGATCAGAGTAGCCTATCGTGTCACTGCATCATTTGTTTTCGCCCTCGTTTACCAACTAATGTGAACTCGTAATAGCATTCAAGCATACTGACTAGTGACGAGCATAACACTATGATAGAAGATTATGGATTTAGTTTTTATGATAGTCAGCATTCAATACTAGGCGAGGGTGTATAAAATATTCAAACAACTAGTGTTCAATGTCTAGACCCAATCCTGAGTTATTCAGTATTGTAGTCTGAAATGCTACCAGTGAACTACACGGGACACCATTGACTACCTACTGATCACTGAGTAGTGAGTGAACAAACTAGTTCTTTAGCGTTGATCAAACTTTATCAGGTTGTCGACTGAATGGGAGTATAAAAAGAAATCAAGTATTTTTCGTGAGATCAGACAGAAAACCCAGTCTGAAACCAATTTCAGCAATACGTATTGACAATCTTCACAGAAATAAAGCTCCTCGCAGGAACTTAGACCATTACAGTTAAAAAATATCAATGACGAATTATTTAGAGTGTAAATGATATTTTGGTAAGGATGAAGTATGATCAGTTATCGAGGAGTGACAGTAAACATAATTTGAAATAATGAGGAATCATACCGTAATATTGGTTAGCATGTAACATCTTGAATTCGTGATACACGGTATGAGACAACAAACGAAGTTTGAATGAATACACTGACTGAAGAATAATTGTTAGTTAGATTTGGAAAATAGGATAGGATAGAATATGAGGATATTAGCAACAATTTATTCAAAATCATTGAATCCAGGATGTACTAGCTGGCAACTGAGTAGTTTATTTATTAAGCAATAAGAATAATATCTCAGGCTTCTTCGACACTACGATGTGCCTGAGAAAATAGTTAACATCATACGGAATTCTTATGATGGATTCAACTGCAAAATCGTACACGAAGGACAGCTAACAGACTCGTTCGAGGTGAAGACCAGTGTGAGGCAAGGTTGCTTACTCTCACCCTTTCTCTTTCTCCTGGTCATCAATCGACTGGATTATGAAGACGTCGACATCTGGAGGGAAACACGGTATCAACTGGACAGTTAGGACGCAGCTGGACGATCTGGACTTCACAGATGACTTGGCTCTTCTATCGAATACGCAACAACAAATGCAAGAGAAGACGACCAGTGTAGCAGCAGCCTCTGCAGCAGTAGGTCTCAACATACATAAAGGAAAAAGCAAAATTCTCCGATGCAACACAACATGCACCAACCAAATCACTCTTGATGGAGATGCTTTTGAGGACGTTAACACCTTTACATATCTGGGCAGCATCATCGACGAGAAAGGTGGATCGGATGCAGATGTGAGGGTGCAGATTGGCAAAGCAAGGGCTGCGTTTCTACAGTTGAAAAATATCTGGAACTCCAAACAACTTTCAACCAAAACCAAAATCACCATTTTCAATACAAATGTCAAGACAGTTCTACTGTAGGGAGTGGAAACTTGGAGCACTATCAAAACCATCATCCACAAGATACAAGGATATATTGTTGTCTTCCCAAAATACTTCGGATTCGCTGGTCAGACACAATCAGCAACCACCTACTGTGAGAGAGAACAAACCAGATTCCAGTGGAGGAGGAAGTGAGGAAGAAGCGGTCAAAGTGGATACGACACACACTACGAAAAGCACCGAACTGCGTCACGAGACAAGCCCTCAAATGGAACCTTCAAAGTCAAAGGAAAAGAGGAAGGTTAAGGAACATATTTCACCGAGGAATATAAGAAGACATGAGAAGAATGAACAACAATTGGACAAAACTGGAAAGGAAAGCCTAGGATAGAGTAGGTTAGAGAATACTTATCGGCGGCCTATGCTCCATTGGAGGGTAAACAAGCGTAAATAGAGTTATTTCATATATATGGAAATACTTATCAGGAGAGATGACAATTCAAAGTTGAATCCTGAATATTCAACAGTAAGTTCCACAATCAACATGAAACAATTACACATTGGCACCAAGTTGTTGTACATACAAACATCAGCGATTAATAATGCCAATTAACAAGTTAGAAATTATTTCATGCATCAATTCACAATCTATAGGCAACATTTCTTCATTCGAACAATATACACATAGATATATATCTATGTTTAATGATATTGTCTGTTGAAAGATTGACATTCAAATTTCAATAATTATTATTATCAATTAGTGTTAACAATAACAATAGATATTTTTTTCTTTGGTTTAAATGAAGAAATAAAAGGAACACAAATAAATTTTGAAAGAGAAGTGAATAAAAAGTAGACACACCAACTTATAGATAGACAGACAGACGTATAAACGGCCAGACATATATAGTACATACACGTAGAAAATCAAGTGATCATCATTTAACATAATTACACAATCAACACATAAATTTGCATGCCTAGACATTTAGTGACACAGACATATACACATATACACACACATATATTTATATATAAATACGTACAAAAACAACGATACTCAAAAATTCATCACCAGGACATTTAGTAATAATAATATTAGTATTGGAGACAAACAAAAAATGAACAACACATTTAATGTGTGAGAAAATTAAATTTATCAACTAAAATAAATAAAATTGAACAGAAAAAAAATCACAGAAATAATCTTAACTCTTTAACAACACAACAAATAACAACAATGACAACGAAAAAAATTAAATAAAAAATGAGGGGATCACAAACGCGGGGGACAGTTGAGTAAGATGTGATATAAGATTCATTACCGATAAGACGTAACATATTCCGTAGAGCATCTGAAAATAAATCAGTGATATAAATGTATAGATCAAATATGAAGAGTTATAAAGTAATTAGGAGAGTATATTCATATATATAAATATAAGTAGATTAAAAGTAAAATTGAACACAGACTAAATAACATGGCATCACTGAAAAGCATGAATCAATCAATGTTTGTTAGATCATCACTAGAGCATTGGAAGCATTAAAAGACAACCGTTTTGTCATAGTGCACATCCACAACTCCTACTGTGGTGCGAGCTACTTATAAGTAGTATATGACATGAGTGTCAACGTAATGTCTGGCAGCAGAAGATGGGGGAAGATCAAGAGAAAGGAAGAGTTAGAAGAACACAATGGAATTTGTATGAGACGCATGAATAGTGACAATGGATTGATGTTTTGCAACTGGAACAGTCCATTTTGATATGATGAACTGATATTTTGCAAATGAACGATTTACGATATGGTTTTCCGATTTTACTGAGTAACTCTGTAATTTTCGTTTAGATACAATTCGGTTGCCCCACCTGTGTTCTCGTTCACTACACTACTAGCGGAATTTGAATCAAACGCTTCACATCTAGACCAGTGAGTCAGCATCGAACAGTGTTAATATCCAACTTTGATCAACCTACGGTTTTGCACGACTTAACCGATCGTCTTCGGTAGGTATCTATCTGTCTACACTGGTCATGACTACTTACTAGAACTCGGAGAAATTTTCTCACAAAGCTAATCATTATCGAAGATTCCTACATTTGAGATTCCCGCAAGCAGAAGTTGTGGATGTGCACTAATGAAGAGCCCTATATTAGGACAGTAGTCTTCCAGGTTTCTAATGATGGTCTAACATTGACTGATGCGTGATTTCGAAGAAAAACAACAATCTCCATAATTTTGGGGCACAATTTTGATTGATTGATGATTTCAAATGTGTAAAAACACAAACCTCCGAAACTGTGCCCCAAAATATCGTAACCATGCTCACTAGTGACTAGCTTCGTGAGGAAATTCTCGGAGTTCTAGTTGAGAAGACGTGACCAATGGAGTTCAACCCTGTCGGGTGTAGACAGTAACTACCAAACACAAATGGGTGAGGTCGCGCAAAATCCTTAGATCAATCAGAGTTAGACACTAACACCGTTGGATGCCGGCTCAGTGGTTCGATAGTAAGGTGTTCGCCTACAATGCCGAAGGTCCAGGGTTCGAATCCTGCGAGGAGCAGGAGTCGTGGATGCGCACTGCCGATGGGTCCCATACCAGGACAAAACGGCCGTCCAGTGCTTCCAGGTTTCTAATGGTGGTCTAACAATGATTGATTGATGATTTCAAATGTGTAAAAATCTCCGTAATTTCTATAATGGATAATGATATCGATTATCTAAAAAAAACAATGAGAAATTATCTACTATAGTAAAACATGTCCATTGGCCGACAATTTCACTTGTAGGATCGACAACTTTTATGAATTTATAGTGAAGAATAACGGAAGCCTCAATGGTTATTGGTTTATGGTGTCTTTCAACCAGAAAGCAAAACTATGAAGTAGATAGGAGGTATCTTCTTTATTATGCAACAGTTCATTTGAATGATTGAACACTTGTCTAATGTAATTTTATTAATATTACCTCAATATAAACTAGCTACTGATTACAATAGTACGTAAAATGTAGACAGGAGATAGTTAATCAGTAAAAAAATTAAAGTTAGACCAATTTTAGAAATCTGGAACCACTGGACAACCTTGTTTGTTCAAGTATAGCATTCATCAGTAATGTACATCCATCCAAAAGGCAGTCGAACACAGGGCTTTTCATTTTAGTGAGAAGCTGTAACTTGTAAGAGTTCAATTGTATCAAGTGTGAGGCAGTTACGTAATAAACGGCAGGGTCATGCAACATCGTGGATTGATCCAAGTTAAACATTAACACCGTTGGATGTCTAATCAATGATCAAGAGGTTAGGTGTTTGAACGTGCAACAAAATGCCATGAGTTCGATTTCTACGTATGGAGGTCTTGGATGTGCACTGCTGAAGAGTCCTATACTCAGACGAAACGGTCGTCTAGTGGTTCTAGATTTGCATGATATGATTTCGATCTCTTTTGCTATTCAGTGTACTACTGATTTAGTCCCAATGTGTTAGTAATGATAAACAGACAGACAGATACAACGCAGAAATTCGTACGTAAGTACATCAGTTCAGGTTGCCATACCACATCAGCACAGAGACGCATTTATCAATTCAAATCCAAGAGTGATACCGATAGCAGTAGTATTAGCAGCAATGGAGAATATTAGGGAGCGAAGATATGATTTGACCATTATAATTCAGTGCGATAAATTTAGAAGGGGAAAGATAGAGACTATGGGGAATTCAGAAGTTCAGAATTTCATACAACACAAAGAATGGATGCACCTGCGCCATTGCAAACGATTTCGAGCCATGTCGTTTAAGGTCTCTAACTTTCATCTCGCGGACCCCGGACCACGTAGCCTACATCTACCAACATGACTCAGTCCACTTGTTAATGATTTCATGGATTTCTGCCATGTTTTGTTTTGGCCGCCCTTAAGTTTCTCCCAACCTACTCCTACACTGCAAAACATAGCTCGTCGAGGCAGTTGGTGGTTAGACATACGTAACACATGTCCAAAACACCTCAACTGATGAAGTTTCACCACTTCATCTATTGATTTGCCATCCTTACCTAGTACTCGTTTCCTAACGACAGCATTGCTTATACGGTTGTCCCACGATACACGAGCAATGTTTCGGACACATCAATGATCGAAGACTAGTAACCTACGAATGTCCTCTACTCTTAACGGCCATGTTTCGCATCCGTATATAGTAGGACGGAGCAAACTGCTGCACAGTACACTAGCCATTTAGTCAGCAAACGGATATCTCGCCTGCGCCATAAGTGACGCAGGTTGGCAAAAGCCAATTCAAACCCTTATAATGATAATGAGAATAACTCTAATTTATGAGAATGAAAAGTAGCAAACACTATGATTTAGTTAGAAAGAAGGCACAATTGTGTGTGTGTGAAAGAATACCAACAACAGATAATTGTTGGGAAAAAAAACAAACAACCGATGACCAATAATGAATCAAACTACCACTACTACTTATTTTATACCTAGTTATAAATTCTTTCTTTATTCATTTATATATATAACAAGATTTCTAAAATTAAATTAAATTAAAAAACAAACAAATATTCTCCTCGAATAATAAAAACACACTAAAAGTGAATTTGTTCTTATGAAAGAAAAAAAAGAAAAGAAATTGTCTGAATATTTGATCAAGAGAACAGTACAGTACACCATATTGCATTATTGAGTTAGATTTAACAAAAAAGAAACAACAATTACTTTGTTATTTTATTATTATAATAAATGAAATCAAATTCAATAAAAAAAAGGTTTTGCTCTTCTTTATTCAAAAAGTAATTGATGTAGTAGACAAGAGAGAATACATTGACAATTGATAACTCTGCCAGTAGCCATTCTGCTGGTTACTGCCAATTCCCCCGAAACACGGATACAGGTCAGTCAGTCAGTCAGTCAGATGCAATGTAGAACTTCGTACGTAAGTACATCATCAGTTCATGTTGCCATACCACATCAGCACACAGATGTAATCGTCAATTCAAATCCAGTAGTACAAGAGGTAGTAAAGGTATTAAAAGTAGTCGGAGAGGTTAGGATTAGAACATATTATTCAAGAAGTATGATTCAGTGAGAAAAGTTTTTAAAGTCAAAACTAGAGTTGTTGAAGAATCCAGAAGATTAGGATTTGAGAGAACACAAAGAATAAATGCACCGGCGCCATTGCGAACGATTTTGAGCCATGTCATTCAACGTCTCTAACCATCGATTATTATCATCTCGAGGACCCCAACCAGGTAGTCGACCTGGATACAGGAGGAGGATTGAGTATGGAGAGAGGAGTTCGCAACTCCATCCAGTTGACAACTTACTCGTTAAACAAAACTGCCAACCAGAAAAATCATTTCGAACTAGACTTGCAGGTAATTGTATGACAACAGATAATATATATCCATGTCTAGTGAAATACTATTTCATTTTAGTTATAATGAATATTGAGAATGAGTTAGCCAATATTATTATCATTTGTGTAACAAGTAGGGATGGCAGATTAGTCAGTCAGTTGAAAGGATATGAGTGTAACCAAGTTGGTTTCGAGTGTTGTTAGGAGTACGAGGGTGGATGTCAGTTCTCGGGTGCCCACACTGTGGAAGGGTTGGTTTTACAGAACTCGGAGCATGACCGCAGAGCTCAACAAGCAACTGCTTGAGGCCGATCCTACATAGCCTTTTTATGAAAATTTTTTAAAGTGGAAGCTCCGCTCCCCGAGTGGCCTTACTGCCAGAAATGAAAATCTGTGAGGTAAGGTGAGGTATGACATTTTTAGAGTCGACCTTTTCTAACCCCTTCCTTCCTTGTGAAAAGGCAACATAGCTGCAGATGCTGGTTGTCGCGCACCCCTCTGTGGTTAGCAGTACGACTTCGCCCTCATACCATCAGTTTCTGCTTTCCGTCTCACCGTTCTCCAATCGACCGCCTAGCATGGTAGAACCAACAGGACCATATGTTTCAACCAATATAGCTCGTTTGGGTAATCACGATAGACAAGCCCGACCACTATGTCAAGGTAGCAACTATTGTCGGAATGACATATCAATTGAGCGATATTGTCCTGATGTAGAAGTAAGCTAGAAAAAAGACAAGGGCGGTGAAAACAAAACATAGCACAGATCATTGAAGTCACGAACAACTGGACTGAGCCATGTTCGCAGGTGTAGACTAAATAGGTCAGGGTCCGTGAGACAATAGTAATCGGTGGTTAGAGACTTTGAATGACATGTCTCAAAATCGTTTACAGTGACGCAGGTACATCCATTCTTCATCTTCTCTCATGCTCTCATGAGCTCAGAACCCTTTTTTTTTATCGGTTTTTAGATTTATTTCATTGCATTATACTTCTTCAATAATACCGTCGTACCGTAATCTTCTCCATTATCGCTAATACTTCTACGACATGTACCACTATGGGATTTGAATGTGGTACGACAACTTGCACTGACGTACATACGTACGTATGTATGTACGAAGTTCTACGTTGTAGCTGACTGACAGTGTAGCATGAAGACATCTAATTATTATGATGTATAAAACAGAGGAAAAGAAGCTAAGGGGCGGTCAAACCAAAACATGTCAACAGTTCATGAAGTGAAATACAATTGGCCTTAACCATAATAATCGCTGTATACTATTACATAATGCCGCTGGACCTAAAAGCGGCATTCGACTCAGTGAATCGTGAGGTTCTGTGGCAGTGTCTGTCATTGAAAGGTGTACCAAAGAAGTACATTAACCTTATACAAGCTCTCTACTCGAACACTAATGGTAGAGTGAGAGCTTATGGCGAACTGTCATCGGAATTCTTTACTTCAAGTGGTGTCCGTCAGGGATGTCCACTCTCTCCATTCTCGTTTAATTTTATCATAGACATGCTCCTACACATAACATTATCCTCGTCTGAATTTTCAGGAGTAGACCTTTTACCAGGTGGCTCGCTTATTGACTTAGAATATGCCGATGACATAGTCCTACTTGGTGAAGACGCTGACAAAATGCAGAGTCTTCTGACTACCCTAAGCAACAATGCAAGCAGGTTCGGGATGCGGTTTTCACCCTCGAAATGCAAAATGTTGCTTTAAGACTGGGTTTCATCGGCACCTAAACTAGTGATAGGGAGTGAAGTAGTCGAATGCGTAGACTGTTTCACTTATCTGGAGAGTCTCATCAGTGCTGATGGCCTGGTGACTGACGAAATCTCAGCTCGGATACAGAAGGCTCGATTGGGTTTTGCCGACCTGCTTCACTTATGGCGCAGGCGAGATATCCGTTTGCTGACTAAAGGACAAGCGTGCTGTGCAACAGTTCGCTCCGTCCTACTATACGGATGCGAAACATGGCCGTTAAGAGTACAGGACTTTCGTAGGTTACTAGTCTTCGAAGCACTGCTCGTGTATCCTGGGACGACCGAGTAAGCAATGCTATCGTTAGGAAACGAGTTCTAGGTAGGGATGGCAAATCAATAAATGAAGCAGTACAACTTCATCAGTTGAGGTGGTTGGGACATGTGTTGTGTATGGCGAACCACCGACTGCCTCGACGAGCTATGTTTTGTGGTGTGAGAGTAGGTTGGAAGAAAGGTAGGGGCGGCCAGACCAAAACATGGCAGAAATCCATGAAGTCACTGACAAGTGGACTGAGTCATGTTGGTAGATGTCAAGACGAAAGTCACCAATGGTTAGAGACCTTGAATGACATGACTCAGAATCGTTTTCAGTGGCTCAGATGCATCGACTCTTTGTGTTTTCTCAAATTCTAACTTTATGAATTTTTCATAATCTATATCTTTCTCTTTCTAAATTTATCTTACTGAATTATACTTATCGGATCATATCTTCGCTCCCTAATCTTCTCCATTACTGCTAATACCTCTATTATTGCTATCACTTTTGGATTTGAATTGATCGTTGCGTCTTTGTGCTGATGGGGCATGGCAACCTGAACTGATGTACTTACGTACGAAGTTCTGCGTTGTATACGTCTGTCTGTCTGTCTATTGGATAATTGTAACCAGCGGCTAAAGACTTATACGAACATCGCCATGTAAGATAAGTTAGAGAGAGAGCGTACTCTGCCCACTCTTGGTTGTAACAAGGCATTTAGGGGCAAATAATAAATGTTATTATTCTAGGCTGGTTATATAATTCATGAGAAGCATTCAAATGAGACGTGGATTTGTTTCATCCTAAAAGCCCGGTTATTTTTATTCCGTAGATTCGTTAACGTACAACATCATAATAAAATAACACACATAAATACGTGTACACATGATACTTACCTTATTGGTGTTCATTTAACAAACACAAGCTCTATATATAACGATAACTAAATCGTAGATAGTGTATTACATGTGAAATAACAACACAACACACACACACAAACAAACAAAATCAAATTTTGACATTTTAAGCCAATTAACAACACAAACAAACAAACAGGAATGTTGGAGTTCTCAATGAGAAAAACAAGAGTGATTGAGTGAGCGAGTGAGTGAAAGCAGCTAACTATCCATACGGAACGAAAGAGTGTGGGTAGGAAATCCTACTAGAATGTATAAAAACAGCTGAGGATAAATTTCAATATCGTTAAGTTATTTTGATTTCATGCCACGGGACCAATTTGAATGAAGCAGGTAATATCTGTTCCGCATCAAAGCTTCTATTATTTAACAATACTTATTGAGAGAAATTAATTATATATTAGAAAGCAATGAACAGTGGAAAAAGGTTTCTATGACGGAAATATCACTCAATTGAGGTAAAGACATGTCACGTGTAGTGAAATCAGTCACGACGAGATAGAAAAATTACAACTAAACTAGAATTGTACCTTTAATCACGTGGAATTTATCTGCTACTGAGAAAAACGCAACACACAAATAATGAGTGAATTTTTAATCGAAGTCGTGAATTGATCAATCAGCGGTGTAACTAAAGTTATCAAGTCAGGATTATGGCGTGCGATTCTGCATATTCTAGATATTTTTGTGATTGAATCCAAAAACATCTCCTGACGTTTTTGGGCCAGTATAGACTATACCAAGGCGATATATTTCAGAACTTTTCAACAGTAATAACGACCAATAACATGTTTTTAATTATAGACTTATGAAGATTGTTGTTAATTACTGAAATCATGAATCAATCATTGTTAGACTATCATTGGAAACCTGTAAGCACTAAAAGACGATCGTTTCATCCTAATAGCAGTGCGTATTCACGACTCTTGCTGCTCGAAGTTTTCGAACCGTAGAGACCTTCGGTCTTGCGCACGAACGCCTAAATATTGTAAAATAAGCTCACTAGTGACTAGCTTTATGAGGAAATTCTTGGAGTTCTAGTTGAGAAGACGTGACCAGTGGAGTTCAACCTTGTAGGCAGTAACTACCAAAGACAAATGCGTGAGATCACACAAAATCCCTAGATCAATCAGAGTTAGACTTTAACACCGTTGGATACCGCCGACCCAGTTTTCTAGAGGTTAGGCATTCGCGCACAAGACCGAAGGTCCTGAATTCGAATCCTTCGATTAGCAAGAGTCGTGGATGCGCACTGCCACTGATGAGTCCCATACCAGGACGAAACGGCCGTCTTTCAGTGCTTCCAGGTTTCTAATGGTGGTCTAACAATCATTGATTGACGACTTCAAATGTGTAAAAAACACTAATAATAATAATAATAGTAATAATAATAATAATAATAATCTTACCAACACGTTTCGGTATCATTTGTTTATAATTAGTTAATTTATTGAAATTGTTCATTTGTAAACTGAATAATTTTTGATCATCACTACTACTACTAATGTTATTCGTAGCATTAACGTTAGTATTGTTAAGATTATTATTACTGTTAATACTACTATTATTACTATTAGTAGTACTACTGGAAGCAGTAGCAGTAGTAGTATTAAGAGGAACAGAAGTAGAATTAAGAATATTTTGATTTTGTTGCCAAAATGTCGACGATAACGATGGCATTGATGTCAAGTAAACCGATGATGATGATGCTGATGATGAGGAGAATGACGATTGAATAGAATAAGAGATGGCATGTTTGATAATTTCTAATAAATTCTCCAATGCCTTCATTGATGTTTCAGATAGTTGTGATAAATTCTGCTGTTGCATTATAGTGGATTGTTGCATTTTCGATGTTGTATTAAAATTGGATAAAGATTTTTGATGGTTGAATTGGTGTGAATGGGAATGATTAGATGAAATATCTAAGAAAAATTTTTTTTATAAAAACAGAAAAAAAAAATGGAATTTTGTAAAAAAATTAATCAAAAATAATTATCGTATGGTAAAAGTAGCAACGATGAGGAATGATGAACCAGATACTGTAAACGAGTTAACACTACAGTATGAACAGTACAGCTCAATCTTGTGGGAGCAACCACAGAGGTGGTACCTAACAACCTAGTGGACCATTTACACCATTTATATACACATATATATACATATAGTGATTAGCGTGAATCAATATGCACCACAAGAAAAGAATGGCAGATCAATAGATGAAGTGCTGAAAGTTCATCAGTTGAGGTGGTTGGGACATGTGTTACGTATGGCTAACCACCGACTGCCTCGACGAGCTTTGTCTTGCAGTGTAGGAGTAGATTGAAAGAAAATTAGGGGCGGCCAAACCAAAATATGGCAGAAATCCATGAAGTCATTGACGAGTGGACTGAGCCATGTCGGTAGTTGTCGACCACCTGGTTGGGGTCCGCGAGATGATAATAATCGATGGTTAGAGACTTTGAATGACATGGCTCAAAATCGTTCTCAACGGCGCCGGTGCATTTATTCTTTGTGTTCTCTCAAATCCTAATCTTCTGGATTCTTCAACACCTCTAGTTTTGACTTTCTAAACTTTTCTCATTGAATCATACTTCTTGAATAATATCTTCTAATCCTAACCTCTCCGATTACTTCTAATACCTTTACTAACTCTTCTTCTGTTGGATTTGAATTGACAATTACATCTGTGTGCTGAAGTGGTATGGCGACATAAACTGATATAATTACGTACGAAGTTCTACGTTGCAACTGACTGACTGACAAGAAAAGGCCAATTTGACCCATGGAGCTTACATGATTGTCAAACCCATTATCATAAGTAATGGTGATATGCAGCAATACAGCAGCCTCAATGACAATGGCCCTCGGGAATGTTGCAAGACAACCATCACTAGTAATCAATGAAATCGGTCACGCTGCGAACCATAGTAAAACATGCCAAAAACTAATGCCAAACCATCCCACAATGTTCACAACAAACCTCCAGTCTCATAGTAAACCTGAAGCTCTATAGATAGCAGTTTAACTTATGGTATCTATATCGTATGGCATAAGATAATAAGAGATGTAGCCCAGCTTGACGCAAATAATCATTTTTCCTAACATATGAGACTTCAGTTAGCGGTAGTAATCCCCATGAGAAAGAAGTAAGATCACTTGAAGCATTTACAAAATTCATTTCGATTAGACGGTTGACATATGTATCCAATGTATAATTCAATCTTAGTCTGTTAAACGTTTATTAAGTTGACTAGTTAAAAAATAAGAGTGTAGACTGAATGAAAAAGATACAATTAGCCAAATCAATATAAAGTAACTAGTTTGTGAAATTGGGTCAGATTACAGCAAGCAGGTATGCTCACTTTTTTTTAAAAAAAAATATATTTTTATACTTTCATTCTTGAAGTTAGTTTGTTCTGTTCAAACTATAGTTTTTCACTAAATTCAATGTGTATGTGATCGATTATTTTCATGCTTTTATGTTGGTTAAAATACTGTACCAATATGAACGTGAACAGATACACGTTATTTCAAGTTATTTACAATTGATGGAGATACACCTTTGGTGGACATAAAATCCTTTACATATCTGGGCAACACTATTGACAATTACGGTGGGTCTGATGCAGATGTGAAGGCGCCGATCGGTAAAGCAACGGCTGCATTTCCAAAAAGTGAAGAATATCTGGGACTACAAACAACTATCAACCAACAACATACAATTTTCAATACAAATGGCAAGACAGTTCTACTGTACGGGGAGGAAACTTGGAGAACTACCTAAGCCATCATCCAGAAGATACAAGTGTTTATCGACAGTTGTCTACGCAAAATACTTCGGAACAATTGGCCAGATATCATGAACAACGACCTACTGTAGAAGAGAACAAACTAGATTCCAGTGGAGGAAGGAATCAGGAAGAAGCGGTGAAAGTGGATAGGACACACACACACAAACGCACAAGGCATCAGCCTTTCACGATGAGGCGTCATGAAGACCTTCCTAATGCCAGGACAAAGTTTAAATGGTTTGAATCATTTGTTTCTGATTAGGGTGTTTTACGGGCATGGAACCGATAGTAACCGGTTGAAGAACTTTAGACAGAATCGTTGTAGTAAACGAGAACACAGGTGGGGCGACCGAATTGTATTTTAACGAAAATTACAGAGTTACTCAGTAAAATCGGAAAATCATATCGTAAATCGTTCATTTGCAAAATATCAGTTCATCATATCGAACTGGATGGACTGTTCCTGTTGCAAAACATCAATCCATTGTCACTATTCATGCGTTTCATACACAAATTCCATTGTGTTCTAACTCTTCCTTTCTTGATCTTCCCCCGCCATCTTCTGCTGCCAGACATTGCGTTGACACTCATGTCATATACTACTTATAAGTAACTCGCACCACATCGTTACAAAATATCCTTTAAATAAAAGTCTTCCTTTTTTTCCAAACTCATTCTAAACTTTTTGTTTTCTTTCCCTAATATCGATCATTAAACAAAGGTTAATCAATCAATCTACTGATATTAATCTTAGTTAAAATTACCGCATGATCAAAGTACAAAAATATATTTATGAAAAAGTTCAAATTATAATAAATGCAACAGTATAGTAGTATATGTTCTCTTCAGTAATAAATGTTTGAGAAAAATAAAATTATTATTTTGAAGTATAATAAAATTTAAATAGTTAAATTCATTTAATTGCTGCGCTTTTTCATGTAAGCATTGAATAGTTTAACATGTTTTTATTTTTCGGGAATAATAAATAATATAAACTTTATTAGATCAATTAAAAAAAATTTTTTCATTGAATAAAATCAATACGAGGTTAAATAAATTGAATTATTGTTGTTTTTTCTGGCTAGCGTTTATTTTAAACAAGTTGGAATTCTACGAGATGAGGTCACTAACTTGATGTGCCTAACTATCTTCCTCCGCCTTTATCCGGGATAAGGATTGTACATAACCAAAGAGGGGATCTAGGCAGAGTCCATATGTAGGCAAATTAACGTAGCTGCTACCCTGAAGTGGTGGTCAGGCTTACCCATAGTGATGACACAATCACGAGCTATATTGGCTGGAACATATGTTCCTGAAGGTTCTACCATACCAGGCAGGTCGACTGGAGAACGATGAGACTAAAAACAGCAATTCAAGTTCTGAGAGCGAAGTCGTACTGTTGACTGTAGAAGGGTGCGAAAGCGATAAGGTGTTTCTCTCAGACAACTGGCACTGCAGCGAGGATGCCTTCTCACAAGGAAGGAAGGGTTAGAAAAGGTCGACCCTAAAAATGTTACACCTCACCTTACGGATTTCCGTCTCTGACGGTAAGGTCTTTTATACAAGAGCGGAGCTAACACTTCAAAAACTTCCTATAAGAAGGTCGTGCGTGACCTGCCTCAAGCAGACGTCCTTTGGGCTCTGCAATCACGCTCCCAGTTTTGTAAGACCAACGCTAATCAAGAAAAAAATAAGGGAACCCTCCTCCTGCGCCCTCATCCAGGCTTAGAACTGTCAGTAACCCCCGAGGAGTTCCAGGCAGAGTCAATATGTAAGCAAATTAACGTAGTGTAATTAAAACATTGATAAATTCATTCAAACGAAAAATAAACGAACGGAGAGAAAAAAAGAAATCAGAAAAAGAATGCAACAACAACATTTCATCGTATACAAGTACGTAAGTAATTAAGTAATTTTTATAGACGGGGCAAAAAGAAACATAATAGTAATTAAATCTATTTAACATGAAAATAATCATTTTAATTGACTAATATATATTTAAAATGTAGAAAAGTACTAGGTTGTAATATATATATACACTTGAATAGAGGTAAAGTGTACACGCATGCATGTGCGCACGCACGCAAGTACATACACATCGTAATACAGAAAAAGTGAAACTATAAAAAAAAATTCTTACGGAAAGATGAAACATCAAAATTGAATATATATTATGAGGAGAAGGAGAGGAAGAGAGGGAGGGAGGCGGGAAGGATTGAAGAAGAGAGAGAAGAGGTAAAGTAAATATGCAGGTAATCACCACTAGCAGTTTTCATTTCTGTACATACAGAAGCATTTTTTATCAACACAAAAATTAATTTTTACAAGCATGAAAAGAGAAAACAAGAAGAACAATTACGAGAACAGATTTTTACACATGTACTATAAAAACACTCTATAGAGACGAACACACACATACACACATACGTAGAAATATGGTACTATGTGATTGCGCAACATGATTAGGAACCACTTCAATAAAAAACTGAAGTGGAACTAATGAAAAGTTAATGAGAAATTTTTAAAAAGTAATAATAATGATGAAATTTATTAATTTTTTTTTCTGGGTTAATTTCAATATGAATTTTACAATACTAAAGATGATAAAATGCACTTACTAGTGATTAGATTCGTGGGGGTGGGTGAAGGGGGGAGGAATTCTCGAAGTTTTAGTGAAAATATGTGACCACTGGAATTCAACCCTGCCAGATGTAGGCAGTAAATGCCGAAGATAAATAGGTGAGGTTGAACGAAATCCCTAGATTGATTAGAGTTAGACATTAATACAGTTGGTTGCTGTTCGCCCAGTGGTCTGGAGGTTAGGTGTTCGCGCTCAAGACCGAAGGTCCCGGCTTCGAATCCTGCGAGTAGCAGGAGTAGTGGATGAGCAATATTGGTGAGCCTCTTACCAGATGGTAGTAATCGATGGTTAGATATTTTATATGGCATGGCTCGAAATCGTTTACAAGTAATTCGGTTTAGGCAAGCGCAGAGTTTTATTAATCCTCATACTTACAGTGTCATTCATATACAAAGACTTCACAAATGAGTCAGTTTAGATTTACAAATTGAGATGTCAGGAAGAAAAACCAGTACCCAGTTTAATGTAAACAATTGATTGAAACTAATCATGAACTCTAGAATATAACTCAGTGACGATTTCAATTTGAACCCACAACCCAACTCACTAAACTTAAGTAGGTAAAATAACAGACCAATCTGTAAACGAATGGTTTTAAAACGAAAGGCTTCACGACACTAGTGAGCCAATGTTTGAAAGTTAATCAGTTAAACCGCTAATTTATATTCTCCTTGATTAAGCTGATAATCAACGAAGGAAAAACAAACCACATTTGAAAAGTTGATAGCCAGATAGTGAGTAAGATTAACTGAAAACATTGAATAGAAGTAGTCACTTAAAAGTTAAAAAGTTTAATGGTAAATGTGTACTACCAGTCAGGCAGGATTTGATTATGACTAATTTGGTTTCATGTGCTGTTATGAGTATGAGGGAGAATTTTACTTCCCGGCTGCACAAACCGTGGAAGGATGCTTTATGAAAAAAAAAGTTGGATTAGTGCCAAACTTAAAGAACTGGGAGCGTGACCGCAGAGCAAAGGGGACAACCGCTTGAGGACGGTTGCGCACGGCCTTTTTATAGGAGGATGACGTGTTAGCTCCGCTCTTAAAATGGCCATAATGCCAGAGACGTAAATCCGTGAGTGACAATTTTAGGGTCGACCTCTTCTAACCCTTCCTTCCTTGTGAGAAAGCGGAATCGCTGCAGATTCTGTTTGTCCAACGGAAACATCTTACTCCTGTCACACTACTCTACAGTCAGCAGTATGACTTCACTCTCACACTTAATTTGTTGTTTTTAGTCTCATCGTTCTCCAATTGACCTGACTGGCATGGTAGAACCTTCAGGAACATAAGTTTCAGCCAATATAGCTCCGCTGAGTCATCACGATAGGCAAGCCCGACCACCACGTCAAGGTAGCAGCTACGGTCGGGTACTATCAGTGACATACTGTTTGCGACTTGAATAACGGCAAAAAGACATTAAACACTTTGTGATTTTTAATTGTTTTTTTAAATTATGTTAACCACTGAATAAAATGTTTTCTTCAATTCAAACGGAAGAAAAAGAAACTTTCACAGTTTAAAACACAAATTCATCTTAGGTAGATTAACATCCAAGACCTGGGAGCACTGAATGACTACTTTATTTTAATATAGGACTCGTCAGCAGAGCGCATCCACAACTACCCACTTCTCAGCCATCAGGGTCATAGATGAGTATCGATCGTTGAACAATCCCCAAAATGGGACGAAAATAACTTTCCAGTGATTAGTAGTTGTTTAACTAAGATCACAAATCTCTCTCATACCAAATATAAGAAATGAGGAAATCAGGGAAAACAAATCAACTTACTCCCTTTATCATTGTTGTATTCATCATACGTGGATAAACGTTTTGAAGGCCTAAATGAATAAAAGTAAGTAGTAAAAGCAGATTAACAAAGGGTGTCTCTAGGATGAATGACACAACAGAATAATAACAACAGTAATGAACATAATGTTGCTACTACCACTACTACTACTGCTACAACTACTAATATACGCCGTGATAGTATATGCATTTAGCATTGACATTCACTGTTTGCTTATATAAACTCAATTATATTAAGAAGTACAAACCAACGGTTTAGAGGTTTCATTATAGGGATGTGGAGATTGTCAAGTTTCATTGAAATTATGAATCGATCAATGTAGGATTACCATTAGAAACCTGGAAGCATTGAACGGCTGTTCCGTCCTAGTATGGTATTCATCAGCAGAGCTCATAAACTACCCTCAATCACGGGAATCGAACCCAGGACCTTCGGTCTCTTGGTAGAGTTTCGTTCTCTGAGTTGGATGTTTTGGTTGTGAAGCTTTCATTGTTCTTCCGCTGAACAACATCATCAGCACATCAGATAGAAGTGCAGTATTCGAATTACTCCACATTTGACCTGTAGCTTGTTCTGTTAACCTCAATCTTGATTGGTTGCTGTTGACCTTTGTTTTGATTGTATCCTCCGTTTGCTAACCAAAGGTCGAGTGTACTGTGTAGCAGTTCGCTCCGTTTTCCTTTATGGATGCGAAACATGGCCGGTAAGAGTAGAAAATATTCGTAGGTTACCAATATTCTACCACATATGTCTTAGAAGCATTGTCGTGTATTGCGGGACACCCGAGTAAACAAAGCTGCCATTAGGAAGCGAGTACTAGGTAAGGATGGCAGATCAATAGATGAAGTAGTGAAACTTCATCAGTTGAGGTGGTTGGGACATGTATTACGAATGTCCGACCACCAACTGCCTCGGCGAGCCATGTTTTGTGGTGTAGGAGTAGGCTGGGAGAAAGGTAGGGGCGGAAAAACCAAAACATGGCAGAAATCCATGACGTCACTGACTAGTGGACTGAGTCATTGTATTTGAATTGACAATTATAACTCTGTGCTAATGTGGTATGGCAACATGAACTGATGTATTCACGTACGAAGTTCTACGTTGCATCTGACTGACTGAGATGTAGTAGAAGTATTTTAGGTGTAACAGAGAAGATTCGAGTTCAACGAAATCATTCAAGGAGTATAAACCAGTAAAATAAATTTTTTTGTTGAAAAAGCCAAAGATAAAGGTGATGAGGAATTCCAATGATTACAATGACTGAAAATAATGCTTCAAAGATATTACAATTGAACTTATGATAAATCTTGAAATAAAGTTTTTATTTTCTATACAAAAAAGAAAAACTTACATTTGTGTATTCAGAATTGGCGGATTAACACAGTTTCCATCACCATTATTATTAGTAGTAGTATGTTTAACTATATGCTGATTAGACTGTTTTTTATCCAAAAGACGTGTACGCAAAAAATCGAAATATGCTGCCCAAATCTATAGATATTCATATATTTAACAAATAAAAACACAAGAATAAATTGAAAACGGTTACATATTCATATCGAATCAATTGAAAACTTGAATAAAACAGTACACTTGCATCATAATATCTCTTAATTAGATTGAATGAAGGCGTGCAAGACCGAATATACTATAATAGTTTGATGCGAGCATCGATTGGGTTTGATCAGTGATTAAGAGTTGCATACTAGGTTGGAACGGATGTCAGGTGCTTCCAGCTTTGAAGACGTTTTCAGAAGAAGGCTGAAAAAACACTTTATTGGGTAGAAACACCTTTGGGAGAGTTTTAGAGAACCAATAAACTATTGATCTTTCCTATTCTCATTACAGATTTTTTTTTAATCATTGATGAGCAGTAAGCATATTCACATAAGTTCTCAGAATATATATCACAGTTATTTAAGAATCAATAATCTTGGAAATAAACTTTCTCTTCTATTCAGAGTTCTGCCATCGATTTCTAGAGAACTAATAAGGGATCAGAAGTCAGTATTCATAGTTTAAACTCTAATTATTTGACAAAATGGCCGACATCTGTTCCACAAAAAAATCATTTATCATCAGTGTCAAAGCAAGAAACTTTTATTTTGAAAGAATACATAAATCTACTGATATCATGGATGCACACAGCTGATGAGTCCCCATACTAAGACGAAACGGCAGTGCTTACAGACTTCTAATAGTATACTCTAACAAATTGATCAATTTTCTGATATCAAATGAAAAACGACAATCTGTAAATCTAATATAATGAAATAATATAAATCATCATAGTTGGTATTTTCTGGCTGCAACAATGTTATGAATTGTAATTTCACAATGTCAGTAGGTTGTTTGTATAAATTTGAAAAAAGTCAGTCAGTCAATCAGCTTACAAAGTACATTGGTTCAAGTCACAATACTACATTAGCACAGACAGATTGAATTGTAAATTCAAGTCTCAGAGTGGTAGATGTAGTTAGAAGTATAAGCGGTAATCGGAAAGATTAGGGCTTTGAAGATATTATACAAGATGTATGCACCAGCGCCATCGCAGACGATTTTGAGTCGTGTCATTCGGGACCTCTAACTACTGGTATCTATTGTCTCGTGAAACTCAACTAGGTAGTCTACATTTACCAACATGGCTCACTCCACTTGTCAGTGACTTCATTGATATGTACCATGTTTTCGTTTGGCCGCCCCTAGTTTTTTCCAACCTACCCCGACAAAACAAAACATTGGTCATCAGGGTACTCAGTGGTTTGGCATATATAATACATGTCCCAACCACCTTAACTGATGAAGTCTCAACAGTTCATCAAGTGATTTGCCATCCTTACTGAAATTAAATTAATCTTAGTTAGCATATGAGCATTTCCTATAAGGACTACCTCGTTGTAGCCAGGATGTTTGTTATACTCGCTTAAAACTATTACATGTTCACCTTAGTTGATTAACGAGAACAAAACAATGAACCAGTGTCCAGGTAGGCTCCTATGATCCTTTGACCCAAATGTATTAGCAAGAAGTCTTGACATAGCGTAGGAAGTGTATTCTACAAACACCCAGCCAACACACAATCAATCCAAACACTCAAATTGCGTTTATTTATACACCATAGAGACGTCCTTAGGACAGTCATAAAAATAGCACACTAAAAGAACACAGTAACCAATCACAGCCAAGCAAAACGAATAAAAACTGGTTCAATGTTCAATAATCATAATATTAATCAACATTGATCTGAAGAAAATTCGTTTACAGTTTAAGTTGACTTTCATCCAATTCATTGAATTTGTCATATATATTTATATTTGGATAGATAGATAGAAATATATTCAACAAACAGAAAGAAAAATGTAGTTTATAGTTTAAATGAAAACTTTCCACTACCAGTAAGTAGACAGATTGTTCTCGGATGACATATTTCCAAATGACTAATTTTTAGTTTATACACCAAAATAAGATGTAATTTCTATATATATATTTTTCTCTTTTTTGTGGTAACAGAATAATTAAAACATTATTATTATTATTATTATTATTATTATTATTATTATTATTATTATTATTATTATAGTTTAAAGAATGAAAACAATGTTTGTACTCTTCTTACTTGACAAAGATTATAAGGCAATGGAGCTGGATACATGAAATCAATATCATCAGATGATGTAATAATACAATGCGGTGTAATGGTACCTCCGTATTCATCTGAAAAATATATAGAGAGATATTTAGTTATTTTTTTCTCTACGTACGAAACAGATTGTTAATGGAAACTATAAAAATTTTATCAATAAGCTCGGAGATAAACATTTGAAGTATGAAAGGAAATGATACGACCTAGTTAGTCAGTCAGATGCAACGTAGAACTTCGTACATCAGTTCACATTGACATACCACAGCAGCACAGAGATATGAATTGTCAATTCAAATCCAAGAGTAGAAGAGGTAGTAAAGGTATTAGAAGTAATCAGAGAGGTTAGAATTAGAAGATATTATTCAAGAAGTATGATTCAAAGAGATAATTTTACAAAGTCAAGACTAGACGGGTTGAAGAATCCAGAAGATTAGGATTTGAGAGAACACAAAGAATAAATGCACCGTCGCCATTGCGAACGATTTTGAGCCATGTCATTCAAGGTCTCTAACCATCGATTATTATCATCTCGCGGACCCCAACCAGGTAGTCGAAAATTACCGACATGGCTAAGTCCACTCGTCAATGACTTCAGGGATTTGTGCCATGTTTTGGTTTGGCCGCCTGTAGCTTTCTTCCAATCTACTCCTAAACTACAAAACAAAGCTCTTCAAGGCAGTCGGTGATTAGGCATACGCAGCACATGTCCCAACCACCTCAACTGATGAAGTTTTGCTACTTCATCTATTGATCTGCCATTCTTAACTAGCACCCATGTCCTAATAACAGCGTTGCTCACTCGGGTGTTCCAGGATATACGAGCAATGCTTCGAAGTCACCTATGATCGAAAACCAGTAACCTACGAATATCTTCTACTCTCACTGGCCATGTTTCACAGCCATAAAGTAAGACGGAGAGAACTACTGCGCAGTACACTCGTCCTTTAGTCAGCAAACGGATATCTCGCCTACGCCATAAGTGACGCAGGATGGCAAAAGCAAATCGAGCCTTCTGTATCCGTGCCGAGATTTCGTCAGTCACCAGGCCATCGGCACTGATGAGACTCCCAAGATAAGTGAAGAGGTCTACACGTTCGACCACCTCACTCCCTATCACTAGTTCAGGTGCCGATGCAACCCAATCTTGAAGCAACATTTTGCAACAACCTAGTTAGAGTAGGAAAAATCAGTTCAAAGCTTCATTTGATTGACTAATGGTAGGATACTGTGACCATTCAACTATATAACTCCATAAAATAATATTGAATACGGAATCATTAAAAAAACTATAGAACATTGTACACATAGAGATGTCTTGTTTTAATCTAAAGCTCTATCAGTCAGTTAGCTACAACGTTAGAACTTCGTACGTATGTACATAAGTTCATGTTGCCATACCACATTAGCACAGAGACTCAAATGTCAAATCAAGTCCCATGGTGATAGAGATAGCACAGGTATTAATGGTAATGAAGAAGACTAGGGTTTGAAGATATTATTCAAGAAGTATAATTCAGTGAGATAAGGTTAGAAAGACAAAGGTAATCCAGGAGATTAGGATTTGAGAGAGCACAACGAATGGATGCACTTGCGCCATTGCAAATGATTTTGAGCCATTTCGTTCAAGGTCTCTAACCATTGGTGACTTTCGTCTCGTGGACCCCAACCACGTAGCCTACATCTACCAACATGACTCTGTCCACTTGTCAGTGACTTCATGGATTCCTGCCATGTTTTGGTCTGGCTGCCCCTTAATCTAAAGCTGTTTATTAACATTTTCTCATAACCTTAAACAAAATTAAATCAATAAGCTTTTTTTGTTTTTGTGATGAGCATGATATTTTCCAATCAGTGATTTACGCTTCATATATTTTTTGTAAGTCTCATCAGCACTGATAGTCTGGTGACTAACAAAATCTCAATACAGATACCAGAAGGTTCGATTAACTTTGGCCAATTTGCATCATTTATGACGTAGTCGAGATATCCGTTTGTTTGTTATAACCAAAGGACGAATTAGCCTTTGTTACAAAATGCAAAACATAAATAAAATTCAATAGAATCCAAATTCTTAATTCACTTCTATTTTATTGACTACTTTCATGATGAATAATTTTGTGAAGTGATTCATTATTTATTATTATTATTATTATTATTATTATTATTATTATTATTATTATGACTGTACAATGTTCAATATTATATTTTCAATTAATTCAAGAGTGAATGATAATAATCTAATCTACAGTTTCATTTAAACAACTGTTCAATTTACAATAATCATAATAATAATAATTATTATTATTATTATATTTTATACATACAATTCCATTTTAATAGTAATAATAATAATAATTTTTGTGTTTGTGCAATATATATACAATGACCTTGATGATCGCTAATCACTGTACAGACACGTCAGCCTCTCAATTACCAGCCCCACGGAATAGAGGAAAAAAACAACGACTTATGAGTCAGATAGATAGACAGACAGAACAGAACAGAACAGAACAGAACAGATCAGATCAGATCAGAACAGAACAGAACAGAACAGAACAGAACAGAACAGAACAGAACAGAACAGAACAGAACAGAACAGAACAGAACAGAACAGAACAGAACAGAACAGAACAGAACAGAACAGAACAGAACAGAACAGATCAGATCAGATCAGATCGTTTTTTATTTCAATCATGCCTTTATATACATGCAAAATCAGACTGCATCGTAAACCAACTAGAAAACTGACATCAATACAAAATAACAGTAATAGTGAGTGTGAACTGGGGTAACGCATAGCAGTCAATTAACTAGAGTTCATAAATGAGAAATGATATAACAACAGTTAATGCCTCAAACAAGAGTATAGGATAAGAGCAACGTCACAATAATAGGAATAAAATGCTTACTTTGTATACAACCAAAAATAATGAATCTTAAGCAAAAAAAACAGTTCTAGAAGATAGTCAATTTTCTTTAAGTGCCCGCCATAACAATAATAATAATAATAATAATAATCTTGAACAGAACAGAAAAATTTTAAACAGATTTTTAACAAATTCTAACATGAATAGGATGAATATTAATGGATTATTAATATTAAATAGTTATTCAATGTGAAAATCACAACATTGTATCACTTACTCTCTCAATGTGATAAGTATATGTTATTATCTATTACCTATAAGGCTAAGAAGGAGTTTCATCTTCAAAAAAACGGTGTGCGTGTGTGTGTTTGTATGTAATTATTCAGTTTGACACAATATACATTTTCCCTTTTTATTCAATAATTGGTGGATGGTTTGTATATGAGTATCAGACTCGGACATCTCACTTCATAGCAGATGGTGTTCTGAAACGATCGTTGGAGACCAAGAAGGATTAGATAGGTATGTGATCCTAGCGTGGGACTCATCAGCAATGCGTATCCACAACTCCGCAAGCGGGAATCAAACCCAGGACACTCAGTTTTGTACGTGAACGTTAAATCTTCAGACCAGTTAGATAACATCCAATGATGTTAATATCTAATTCTGAGCAATCTAAGGGTTTTTGCGCAACATTACGTGACCAATAGAGTTCAACCCTGTCAAGTGTAGGCAGCAACTACCAAAGACAAAATGCCCAGTTTGATTAGAGTTAGACATTAACATCATTTGATGCCGGCATGGTGGTCCAGAGACTAAGCGTTCGCCCGCATGACTGAAGATTCACGGGTTCTGTTTCCGAGAGCGAAAGTCGTGAGTGCGCACTGCTGATGAGTCCCATATCAGGACGAAACTGCCGTTCACAACTTCCAAGTTTCCAATGGTAGTCTAACAATCATTGATTCACGATTTCAGTAATAAGACCATCACAACAAGCAAGTATTTTAAGTCAGATTTTATCTTTTATTCAAAAAGAGAAACACAGTGAAACGTATTTTAATGATGACGGTTAAGATTAAACCTATTATTATTATTATTATTATTATCATCATTTTGATACGGGTAGAATTCCATCTTACATAATTCTTTGAGAGACATTTGGATTTTAAAACTTTTTAATTCGCCTGTTACCCCTAGTGGAGCATAGGCCACTGACCGGCATAGGATCAAGAAACTGAACAAAAGGGAGATACAACCGAAACAAAGGTGCAAACAACGACAGGTTTAAGGTCAACAACAGCAACCAATCTAGATCGAGGTTAACAGAGCAAGCTACGGGTCAAACAACATGCGCCAACTAAATCATACCTTGATGGAGATGCTTGGAGAACGTAAAATGCTGTACATATCTGGGCAGCATCATCGACAATCAAGGTGGATCCGATGAAGATGTGAGGGCGCGGATCGGCAAAGAAACGGTAGCATTTCTACAACTGAAGAACATCTGGATCTCAAAACAACTAATAACCAACACCAAAGTCAGAATTTCCAATGCTAATGTCAAGAAAGTTCTACTATATGGAGCGGAAACTTAAAAAACTATAAAAGCCATCATCCGCAAAATACAAATATCTATTAACAGTTGTCTACTTAAAATACTTCGGATCCGTTGGCCAGACACCACCATCAGCAACAACCTACTTCAAGAACGAACATACCAAATTCCAGTGGAGAAGGAAATCGGGAAGAACCGCTGGAAGTGGATAGGACAGACATTGGCGAAAGTATGCAACTGCTCCACAAGACAAGCCCTCACTCACTTGGAACCCTCAAGGTCAAAGGAAAAGAGGAAGGCCAAGAAACACATTAAGCCGAGAAATAGAGGCAAATATGAGAACAATCAACAACAACAACTGGACAGAACTGGAAATGGAAGCCTAGGACAGAGTAGGCTGGAGAATACTGGTCGGCGCACTATGATCCATTAGGGGTAACCGGCGTAAGTAAGTAAGTAAGTAAGTCAACTTATTGAGAATTTAAACCATATGAAATGAGAACTTAACGAAATAAAAATATATAATTCATTTATGTTCACCTTTAATTACTTCAAAATAATAATAATAATAATAGTAATATTCTCTATAACAAACCTGAAGGTCGAACCAAAGCCCATCGACGTTGACCAGCTGATATTGGCATCCTGTAAGAATGTTTATTTACACCAAATGGAAAATATGCACCGGATACAAGTGAACTAGTTGCATAATAATTTATGGTTGATTGACGTGAATAAGTTGTAGTTAAATTATAATATTTTCCAAAATGTTGAATTGGTGTACTGATTAAATTATTGTTAATAGTAGTAGTACCAGTCGTAGTAGTAGTAGTAGTCAGTGTAGTCGGTGTAATTGTTGCATAAAGTGTAGCTGTCGACTTTCGACGAGTAAATGGCAAAGTTTGTGAATTTAATCCAGATAAATTATTGAGATGAGTACGACGATCAATGATTGCATGATAATTACGTAGGATAGAATGTTGAGGAGTGATAATATTCCATGAATTTGGCAATGGTTGTCCATCGGATAAAATAACATCCATTGCTAAATGGGGAAAAACAAACAAAGATTTTTTGTGTGTGTACAAATAAGAGTTATTGATGAGTGAATAAATAGTAGTATTATGCTGAAAGATATAATTATTGGTACAAGAGAGGGGGCATTCTAAATGTTTATGCACTACATAAACCAATGACTTAGTATGTTGGTTTGGATACTGTACAGGTAACACCAAGTCGAACCGGACGGCTATCTTAGAGCACCAATCTGTGAGTATTTGACCTAAAGGTCTAATCAACAAAAAATAGTCAAGTAATATTACGGGATGTTGTTTCATGGTAGACGGTGTCAAACAATTGGTTCATACAACAACTTATTCTTGTAGGATCTTGGAGCCCATGTACACCGATGATATTTATATTGGTTTGGAATTAGGACTTTCTAACTCTCCTAGGTAAATGATTCATACCCACTAAGACCTAGTTAAATATTCACTTTTCGTTCTCTTTAATTTCTGAAACAACACTCCGACTATGATTAGGCAATGGATTAGGAATTTGTTCGAAGGGGCTGTACATGCACAGTCATGTGAGAGTATTTGGATGGAGAGAGAGAGAGAACCGTATCAGAGGCATTTAAGGGTGGCAAATAACTACAGAGTACAAATTTTCCATTAACATTTATAGCTCAAAATAATACACTTATTCAGTGATAGAAAAATCGCAGTAGGTGGATGTCTACAAGAATTTAAATCAATAACTTATCACCATGTTCAAATTTGTGTATATGACTACACAGATTACATTCAAAGTGGAACAGTACCTTAGTGATTAAGGTGTTCGACATTCAGTCGTTGAGTTATGTATAGATTTAAACTTAACTTCACTTACTTCACACTCTGGGCTATTGGATAGTATCACTAGCTCTTACATTTCCAGTGTGGCTACCGGCGACCATTCTATGCCAAAAATATGGGTACTCATCTAATCACCTGTATTAAACCGGACCGTAGCTGCTATCTAGACGTGGTTTTGCCTATTGTGATGACCCAACCCTCGGGAAACCAGCATCTGCAGCGATCATGTCTTCTTCCTGAATAGGCAACGGTAGTTTTACATTGGTTTTAAAGAGAACCAAACACTGTCCAGGTGTTAACATCACAACCCAAACAGTACAGATTAATTTTATGACACAACCACACAGGTGGTACTTGACACCTTGATGAACCATTCACACCATTTATGTACAGCAACACATATAGCGATTACTTCCGATCTATGATCGCGTCAATCAATATGCACAGAATGAACAGGCCAGTATGACCTATCCCGCTTACATGATTGTCAATCTCATTATTATAAACAACGGTGATACGCAATATAGCATCCCAAATGAAAATAGCTTTTAAGAATATCGCAGGAAAACCACCAACGATAAGCAATCAATAAAATCAATTATCCTACAGACGAAATTTATAAAAGGAAAATTAGTAAAACTTGTCACACTAATATCAAGCCAGGTGTGCTGTTACGGGTATGAGGGCGGATATCACTTCCCGGTTGCCCACACCGCGAGTGTTTCTTGAGGAACCTGAAAAGGAAGTAAGATTAACGTTGATCTTAGAGACTTGGGAGCGTGACCGCAAAGTCCAAAGGACGACTGCATGAGGCCGATCACGCACGACATTTCCTAACCTCTTCCTTCCTGGTCAGAAGGCAGCATCGCTGAAGATGCCAGTTGTCCAAGGGAAACACCTTACTGCCGTCACACCCCTCTACAGTCAGCAGTATGACTTCACCCTCACACCTTGAGTTGCTGCTTTTAGCTTCATCGTTCTCCAATCGACCTGCCTGGCATGGTAGAACAGTATGAGATTTGATTTCGACCAATTTGGTCTCGTGTGCTGTTACGGGTATGAGTGCGGTTGTCACTTCCCGGATGCACACACTGTGGAAGGGTGTTTCTTGAAGAGTCTGAAAAGTAAGGTAGATTAGTGTCGATCCTAACGACCTCAGAGCGTGACCGCAGGGTCCAAGGGACAACTGCTTGAGGCCGTTCATGCACGGTCTTTTTATGAGATGTTTATTGAGTGTTAGCTCCGCTCTTGAGAGCCCTTAGTGGGCACCCTTACCGCCGGAGACGGGAATCCGTGAGGTAGGGTGAGGTATGATATTTTTAGGGTCGAAAATTTCTAACCCTTCCTTCCTTGTGATGAGAAGGCAGCATCGCTGCAAATGCTGGTTGTCCGAGGGGAACACCTTACACACCTCTACAGTCAGCAGTACGACCTCACCCTCACACCTTGAGTTGCTGTTTTTAGTCTCACTGTTCTCCAATAGACCTGCCTGCTGTGGTAGAACCTACAGCAACATATGTTCCAGCCAATATAGCTCGTGGTTGAGTCATCACGATAAGCGAACCTGACCACCACATCAAGGTAGCCAGCTACGATCGGGACTAAACCCATGCACAATGTTCATAATGAATTATTGGTCTTATAGCACGTAACCTTCAACTCGAATACATCCGTATATTCATACAAACTAACAATTTACTTACTTCGACAAAAAGGAGTCACATTTTCATTATCCATATTATTGTTACTACTTTTATCATGATGATGACGATTAATAGACAAGAGTTTCATCTGTTGTTGTTGTTGGTGGTGTTGTCGATGCTGTTTGTCAGCTCCGTCTACATTTAAACTTTGTGTCCGATTGCGTACATTATTCCAACATGTTCTTGGAATGGACAACATTTGACTTTTCTCATTCTCCATAGATTGTTTACGTATTGATGGAAGAGATGTGATTGTAGTGAAATCATGACTAATACTACTACAACAACTACTACTATTACTACTACTACAACAAGTAGTAGTATTCGTACTTAGAGTAGCATTATCAATCGATGTAACACGTGATAATAAGGTGTGTAGATGTGGAGCGACTGGATGATTCGATGTGATGTATGAATCATAACTTCGTGATAAATTCTTACACGAGGATGATGATGCGGGTGATGATGGTATGGTCGTCGCTGTCGATAATGTTGTCGTTGTTGAAGTTGTCGTCGTCGTTGAAACAGTTTGTTTAGACCGTCTAGACATAGCGCTAATCGGATTGTTTACAATGGATGCTGTTGGATCATTTGAACAATATTGATAACAATTTGATTCTACTATGGAAGTGGATGATTGATTTGTGATTGGTAGGAGTGAATAACTACTACTATTATTATTATTATTAGTAGTAGTAGTAGTGTTAGAATTTATAAGGCAATTTTGTGACTTGACTAAATTTTCATTTGATGGTGGTTGATATGATTTTTTGCGTTGATTATTATTTTCATTAAAAGATGATTGATATGATGGATAAGCGATACAATAGATAGGCAGCGATGATTTGATGACAGTAGTAGTAGTAGTAGTATTAGTAGTAGCGGTGGTAGTAGTATCGTCATGAGTTTCTTTTGAAACACTTCTGTATATAGGAAACAATGCAAAAAAAATAGTATAAATGATAATATCAATGAGAATAAGAAATATTAATTAGATAACTAGAGTTTATTGAAACAACAGAATCATGAATACGTAAATTAGAAGGAGATATCCGTCTTCAAACCAAAGGACGAGTCTAATGCGCAGCAGTTCACTCCGTCCTACTATATCAGTGTGATATATGGTCAGTAAGAGTAGAGGATATTTGCAAGTTACTGGTATTTGAAGCACTGCTCATATATCCTGAGAACATAGAGTAAGCAGTGCTAGGGTAAAGAAAATGGTACTAGATAGGAATGGCCGATCAGTTGATGAAGTATTGGGACTTCATCAGTTGGCGAGTGATGATGCCTGTGGTATAGGAGTAGGCTGAATGAAAACTGGGGGCGGCCAAACCAAAACATGGCACAAATCGATGGAGTCATCGACAACTGGACTGAGCCTTGTTAGTAAGTGTAAACCAAATAGTTGTGGTCCGCAAAACAATAGTAACCGATGGTTAGAGACTTTGAATGATATAGCTAAAAATCGTTTGCAGTGGTGCATATGCATCCACTCTTTGTGCTCTCTCAAATCCTAATATTCTGAATTCTTCATAATCTCTGTATTTTTCTTTTTAAATTTACTACACTGCATTGTGTTTCTCGATTCATATGTTTGATCCTCAATCTTTTTGATTACTGCTAATACTTCTACTACATCTACCACTATGGGATTTGAATTGACAGTTCGATCTCTGTGTGCTAATGTGGTATAACAACTTAAACTGATACACGTACACACGAAGTTCTATATTGTAGCTGAATAACTGACTGAGAAGAATAAAATGAGTCAACAATGAGACCGGCAGACTTGAACATATCGATGATAGTTTAGTACTCCGCCTATAGCCCTTCTGAGGTTACTGCCGACCAAGACGACGGATAAAGGAAGAGGGTTGGGCACATGGAGTCAGCGACCCAATCCTGTAGACATCAAACTCGCAAAAGAAAACATAAATCAGAGAAAATAATTCGCCGGTTGGTGGCCTATGTTTCATTAAGGGTAACAGGCGAAAGTAAGTAGGATAGTTTAGGTTTAAAAAAAGCTTAGACATTTTAATAGGCATAATATTTTAGTACAAATTACGGTAAGTGAGCTTTCGAAGAAATGGCATATTCACGCTCAAGTTTTTACAAAAAATTTGAATAATTATTAAATATAATGCATAGTTAAGTTTGTGACTAAATGACAATAAACTCAGTCAAATATTTATACGTTCAAAGTATATTCTTTATGATAAATGTCTTTCATGAAAATAATACAATCTCTACAAATTCCCTACATTAATAACAATCATGTCAGTCAGTCAGATGCAACGTAGAACGTTGTACGTAAGTACATCAGTTCATGTTGACACACACCACATCAGCACAGAGAAGTAATCGTCAATTCAAATCCAATAGTAGTAGAGGTAGTAAAGGTATTAGAAGTAATCGGAGAGGTTAGGATTAGAACATATTATTCAAGAAGTATGATTCAGTGAGAAAAGTTTAGAAAGTCAAAACTAGAGGTGTTGAAGAATCCAGAATATTAGGATTTGAGAGAACACAGAGAATAAATGCACCGGCGCCATAGCGAATAATAACAATCATGTACTGATTAGTGACCAGCTTCAAGATGAATGTCTGTAATTTTGATGAGAAATTGTGACCGGTGGTGGTTCAACTGTGTCAGGCGTAAGGCAGTTTTATCCACTGAAGACAATGGAAGACAGTTACGCAATATTGTGAAATGACTGAAGTCAGACGTTAGGTGTTCGTATGCAAGAACGGTTTTAAGTTCGATTCTGTTTATGAAGTCAAGGAGGTGTACTGGTGAAGAGTCCCATATTAGGACGAAATGGCCATCCACAGCTTCCAGATTTCTAATAGTGGTTTGTTATGCTACCACTGGTATTATTTCGAGTATTTAGATGCCGACTCAGTAGTCTAGATGTGAAGTATTCGCGTGCGAGACCGAAGGTCTTGGATTCGATTCCGAAGGTGCACTACTGACGAGCTCCATACTAAGACAAAAAGACCGTCTCGTATTTCCAGGTTCCTAACGATGATTTACCAATGATCGATTCACGATTTCGATGAAACTCAACAATCTCCACAACCCTATAATCAAAATCCTAATAGTATATTGATAAAACATTTGAAAATATTCACAAATGATCCAGTTCTGATGTGTATGTTCAATCATCTAACCAGTTTATCAAGAGGAAAAAAGATGAATTCTAGGATCAGATTTTTATGTCGTTTTAACATGACTTACATATACTGACTATCAGATTGATGATTATCTCCGGGTACGCCATTGGTACATCTTGAAACAAACATATCGTCTGAATGTTTAAAAGTTACAACCTGTAATAAATCAAGAATAATTTCAAAAAAGTATAATAATTTGGTCAGTGAGTAACTAAAAAAATGATAGTTGAAACATTTTCTCAACAGATAGAATGATAACTTGTGAAAGTTGAATTACTTAACTTCTTACTAGTTGAGAAGGGCTATAGATTTGCGATTTGTTTGTCGTATACTACAGCGTAAGCATTTATATAGTAGCAATAATCCTCAAATAAGAAATAACAGTGTAACTTCGTTGAAGTTATAGCTTTAAAGAACTGCTGACATCGATTGACAAAACGAATAATCACTAGTCCTGTATTATATCAACACAATATCGATCGCATTATGATTACACTTTCAATTACAGTTATAATGCTTCGATTTTTTACTTTTTTATAAGAAATAACTAAACAAGCAAGTAATCGTGCTTTGAATATCTGAAGCCCATTGAACTGACAGATCACACAATAACTTTCAAATCGATCTTAATGTGTATCTAAATCCAACCAGTGCAAATTATTTAACATTAAAAAATATACTACTAATAGTAGACAAAATAAATATACATAAAAAATATCACTTACTTTAACACGTGGAAACGGTTTGCCCATTTCAATATATTTCAATTCTTGTGCTGATTTAAAATAGCTATTGAAGATTGAAAAAAATAGATTAAATTATTATGTTTTCAATGAAAAATAAACCTACCTGCAATTTATCCAATGTGGTGCAATATATTCTTCTGGATTTATAAAAGATTCAGACAATATCTACAAATGGAGGAGGATAAGATAGGGAAAAAATGGTTATTGGAATCAGCCATAGTAATTTAATGGTCAAGAGAAAAATAAGCAGTTAAATTGAGAAATTGGCTCAAAACGACAGGAAAAACACAATTGAATCACGACAAATATTTGCATTCAGAATCATGCATTTCGATGTAAAGAGATACATTTATTAATGGCAAAGTGATTAATTACACATTTGAAATCATCAATCAATCATTGTTAGACCACCATTAGAAACCTGGAAGCACTGAAAGACGGCCGTTTCGTCGTGGTATGTTAAAAAATCGCAAACCTCCAAAACTGTGCCCCAAAATATCGTAACAGTGCTCACTAGTGACTAGCTAGCTTGGTGAGGAAATTCTCGGAGTTCTAGTTGAGAAGACGTGACCAATGGAGTTCAAACCTGTCGGGTGTAGGCAGTAACTACCAAAGACAAATGGGTGAGGTCGCGCAAAATCCCTAGATCAATCAGAGTTAGACATTAACACGGTTGGATGCCGGCTCAGTGGTCCGATGGTAAGGTGTTCGCCTACAATGCCAAAGGTCCCGGGTTCAAATCATGCGAGGAGCAGGAGTCGTGGATGCGCACTGCCACTGATGAGTCCCATACCAGGACGAAACGGCCGTCCGGTGCTTCCAGGTTTCTAATGGTGGTCTAACAATGACTGATTGGTGATTTCAAATGTGTAAAAAATCGCAAACCTCCAAAACTGTGCCCCAAAATGATTAATGTCAGTTGGTTAGTTACAACGTAGAACTTCATCCGTACGTAAATCAGTTCAGGTTGCCGTACCACATTAGCGTCGAGACGCAATTATCAATTTTCAAAACCCATAATAGTAGAGAGAGAAGAAGCATGAGCAGTATACGAAAAGAGTAGGGTCACGATTAATGTCCTTTGTAAAAATCTCAATTCACCAGATTTCTTAAGTATCTACACTCCTTAAGGCACTACTACACATAAATAAATACATCTCTAAACAAATTTGTAAGAGTTTTGATAACGACCATAAGATAAACTACATAATAGGCAGAATCAATAATAATGGCAGGCATTTAATCAAGAGAAAAAAACTATCAACACAAAATTATAGAATTTGTTCAGAATAAACAAATACTTGATAAAAACATAAGAAATAAGATAGAATTATTAAGATATGTAATGGGATACTATTAAATAAGAGATTTATGTGAAGATGTACTTAAAAATGATTATTAATCATATTCGTTACTGAATAATAAAAAGTAGTATCATGTGATAATAACCAAAAAGAGACCAAGTAAGAAGCAAAGGAATAATGAAAGTGTAAGAAAAATTAACTACGATAAACTCCATCTTTAAAAACAAGGAACAAGATAGGTTATAGCTTAACCTTAATGTTTTCTTATGAATCGTTTATTAGCAGATAAACCTGAATGCTTTTCGGAGATCATGAAATGACGTAGGTTAGATAACCTTTGTGTTGGAGTTTCATTCTCTGAGCTGAATGTTTTGATTGTGGAGCTTTCAGTGTTCTTCTAAACAACATCATCAGCAATTCACTTCTATCTGACATGTTGTTCAGCAGAAGAACAATGGAAGCTCCACAACCAAAACAGCATTCAGCTCAGAGAATGAAACTCCACCACAGTCATCCACCTGAGCTACAAATTTTCTCCACCACTTTAGACAATTTTTGAAAATTTGTAATAGCTTGTATGTGGTAATGAACAAAATCTTGAGAAGTATCGATTCAGGACCTTAGATGGCTTGTGCAAGTGCTTAATCTCTAGACTAATGAACTGAAATCTCAAAACTTGTCTAACTTGAGTTGGTTCGTGACCTCAGTAACATTCAATAACCTTGTCAAGATTTCAATAACGCTAAATTCTTCTGATTAAAATCATAAATATTTTTAAGAATAAATCACTATACATAACTCGATGGTATTTAAGAGCAAAGTGATTACAAACTAAACATCCATATTTTCAACTCAATGTTTCCTTACGTCAAAAGCCGTGAGACTTTAATATTGCCTATCAGCCTGTATAATACACCTATGCAAGGGGACTGGATACTGTAGTCTAATAGTCAGTATATTTTCACTAACTTTCATAAAGTTTCTGAATTTTATATAGTACACAAAAGTGGATACTAAAATAACACATTTATTTCAGTGATCTGTGGATACAGTTTCATGAACTGATGCTGTAAAGCCATTTTTAAAAGCAAATCAGTAACGCACAGTTACTAAGTCACAATGAATTCATCAGTCAGTCAGTTTACAACGAAGAGCCTCATACGCACGTACATCAGTTCAAGTTACCGTACTGCATTAGCACAGAGAGGCAATTGTCAATTTAAATCCCATAATGGTAGGGGTATTGGCATTAATCAAAGAGATTAATTATCCCATATGCCATTCGGAATGTATACCCCAGAGGAATCAGTCAAAAAACGAGAAAAAAGGGTTATGAGGAATTCAGAAGATTAGAATTTGAGGGAACACAAACAATGGATGCGCCTGCGCCATCGCAAACAGTTTTGAGCCATGTCGTTCAAGGTCTCTAACCATCGATTACTATCATCTCGCGGACACCACCCAGGTAGACTACACTTACCAACAGAACTCAGTTCAGTTGTTAGTGACTTCATGGATTTGTGACATGTTTTGGCCGCTCCCAGGTTTCTTCTAACCTACTCCTATACCGCAAAACACAGCGCAATGAGGCAGTCAGTGGTTGTGCATTTGTAAAACATGTCCGAGAAGTGACAAATGCCCTCATGCGCGTTGCAATAAATTTTTGGTTAAGGAGTTTACCTTCGAATCCCGTCTCACCTAATTCAATTTAAGCAATCAGCTCTCAAATATAGAGTGTAGCTCATATTTGAGTAGACGAATTTGTATCTGATGCCTCAATTCATAAATGTACAGATATAAACAAGCAAGGAATCGTAATTATCATCTTCACGCGTGAGACTGACCATAATATAATCCGATCACTCAGCCAGAACCTTTAATTATCTATCTTTTTTTCTAAACATCAGTAGTCTACTGGTTACCTTACTGCTGGTCGCATTTGATTGATCAAGTATAAATGCGGACACAAATAGTTGGTGACTTGACATAGTATGCTTGGTGATGTCCGGAGAAGAAACTAGCAGAAGTCTATAGACTTTGATTTTATCCTATCTTCCACAGCTACTCATCTTGAAGGAACATTGTTATGCATTTTATCGTAAATAAACATACTGGCTCTATGGTTATGCTATTTTGTTGATTACTAAACTTGAAATACCCTAGTTTAATATTGTGAGAAGTCCATCAGATTATATGTGACACTGTCCGCTACATAAATGTTTTTTTAAGAAATCTACTGAAGAGAAATAATATGTTTAATTAATTTACGTATTGAATATATTTACCGAAAAGTAAACCAAGATGTATGTTCAGGGCGAGACAATCAACTCAAGGTGACCAATTATTGTAGTTGTTAAATATCAACAGAACAGAAATACAAAACGTTTGCAAATGCATATATATATATATATATATATATATATGATTTAACGCATACATCTCTCTAATATGTGGCAAACATACTTTAAACAATGGAACTGCATGAAGAGGTTGTTCTGCCAAACAGATTAAGTCTACTCCAACACCTACACTCCAGAAATAGAGGCGTAAAAAGAATTATAGTAACAATAATAATGGGAATTTATATTCAATAAAAATTTTGTGGTTATATGATAAACTAGAGCGTAGTGAATTATTTCACAACACCGAATCAAACTCTGGAAAACTGAAAAAAACAAATAATCGCAGTAACATTGAAGTAGTTAAACAAAATGATGCGGATACAGAAAGCTCGATTGGCATAGGCGATACATCCGTCTAGCAACTGGAGGTCGAGTCTACTGAGCAGTAGTTCGCTCAGTCCTACTATATGGATGCGAAACATGACCAGTAAGAGTAGAAGATATTCGTAGGCTAATAATATTTGACCACAGATGTCTCAGAAGCATTGCTCTTGTATCATGGGACAGCCGAGTAAGCAATGCTGTTGTTAGGAAACGGGTGCTAGGTAAGGATGGCAAATCAATAGATGAAATATTGAAACTTCATCAGTTAAGGTCGTTAGGACATGTAATATGAATGCGTAACCACCGACTGCCTCGACGAGCGATGCTTTGCAGTGTAGGAATAGGTTGGAAGAAATTAGGGGCGGCCAAACCAAAACATGACAGAAATCCATGAAGTCAGTCACAAGGGAACTGAGTCATGTCGGTAGATATCAACTATCTGGTTGAGGTCCGCGAGATGATAGTAATCGATAGTTAGAGACCTAGAACGGTTTTGCTCAAAATAGTTTACAATGGTGCAGGTGCATCGATTCTTTGCGTTCTCTAAAATTCTAAACTGAATTCCTCATCATCTATGTTTCTCTATTTTTAAATTTATTTCTCTGGTTTATATTTCTTGAATCATATCTTTGATCCTTAATCTTTTCGATTACCGCCAATACTTGTACTACATCTACCATTGTGTGATTCGAACTGACATTTGAATCTAACTGCTACTGTAGTATGAGAACTTGAACTGGTGTACGTACTTAAGAAGTAGTAGCTGAACGACTAACTAACAACTTGTAAGTTTATCAACGTCAAATTAAAAACCCCAGTTATAAAAGCACCACAAAGAGGTGCCCGGAGGAATGTAGATACATATAAATGCTTTCTACAATAAACATGTCTCCGTCTAGGACCATTCTAGGGTTACTGCCGATCCCAAGCCTGGATAAAGGAGCAGGGTTGGGCATGGGGGTTAACGACCTCATCCCGCAGAAATCCAAGTCGCTACAAAAAACGTTAACCAGAAATATAATTCGCTGGTCGGCAGCCTATGTTCCATTAGGGGTAACAGGCATCAGTAAGTAAACAGAATAAAATTGATTTACATAACTAAACAAACCGATCTCCACCATTATTTCGTACTAAACTGTGATCTGTTATATTCACCAATAATTAATAGAAATTAGTTTTTCACTTACCTAAATCAAGAACACGTTTTTTAGTTAATAATAAAAGATTTTCATTCACATGATAAACACCAGAACCTGGTGCAATGACGAACAACAGTTTGCCAGTACGATCAAAATTTCGATCAATATTATATCCCGAATAAACTGTATATAAAATTTTTAAAAAAAAACGATTGTTATTAATAAACTGATTTATTGAAACGATGAATCAATTACAGTTAGATCATCGTTAGAAATCTTGGACGACTGTTTCATTCTAGTATCAGACTCATCAGCAGTGGGCATCCACAATCCACACACCCAAACCTACGGGCCCGTGCGCGAACACTTAACCTCTGGAGCTCATGTCCCATATTAGAATGAAACGGCCGTCCAGTGCCTTCAGGTTTCCAATGGTGATCTGTTAGGATATTCAACCAATATGCTAAGATAATTGTTTGTAAGTCTAATTCTATTAGTTAATTCCTATTGGTCATCCAAACTGTCAACGTCACAGACTTTAAATGTTGTCTCCTATTCGACTTAACTGCGTAAATACGCATTATCCGTAACGTTTTATGACCCGGATCCCTAGTTCGGGATCCTGATTCTTTTCCGGACTCGAAACTCGTACTATCTGGATGCTTGTAGAATACATGTTCTACTTCATATCAAGTCTTCTTGTTTTTACTCATTATGGGGGTTCAAGACAGTCGGATTAGAGTAGCATGTCGTGTCATCGGATCCTCGATCCTCGCTCTCGTTCATTGACTAAGGTAAACTCGTAATGTGGTGCGCGCTACTTATAAGTAGTATATGACGTGAGTGTAAACGTAATGTCTGGCAGCAGAAGATGGGGGAAGATCAAGAAAGGAAGAAGAGTGGGAACACAATGGGATTTGTATGAAACGCATGAATAAGTGAAATGTCAGACAGTGTGGATTGATGATGGATTGAAGATTTGCAAATTAACCGTTTACGATATGGTTTTCCTATTTTACTGAGTAACTCTGTAATTTGTGATAAATACAATTCGGTTGCCCTCACCTGTGTTCTCCTTCATTACAGTAATAGTTCAAGCATATCAAATGACGTGTTTACTTGCACGCATAATATAATCTAACAATGATTGATTCATGATTTACGTAAAACTCAACAATCTTCACAACCAAATGAAATGAATACGGTTGATATTGATAAGAAAAAGACATAAGCTATTAGTAATAGCAAGAACCAACCAAAGGTCGATAGAATGCCATTGACATTCTTTCAATTCGGTCAATTTTATCACATTTTTTTGAAAAATTTATTCACAACATTTTCTATTTATTCAATAAAATAAGTGCTGCTTTCAAACAAAAAACAATTTGTTGAGAAACCATGAATCGATCAATGTTAGACCACCACCATTAGAAACCTGGAAGAAGCACTGCAAGACGGCCGTTTCGTCCTAGTATGGGACTCCTCAGCAGTGCGAATCCACGACTCCTGCACCCCGCAGGATTCGAACCCAGGACCTTCGGTATTGTACGCAAACGCCCTAACATTGATCGATTCATGGTTTCAAAAAATGTGTAACTTAACAATTTGGTATGTTTTAAATGAACTTACTCATTAAACTATTGAATAAAACAGTAGAAAAAAGTAAGATGAACAGACAGAGAGAGGAGAAGAAGCACACAACACTTACGATTAATAGCCATATTTAATACTTCCAATAGATTAGCATCCATAGCTGTACAAATATTTAATTTGATTTTTTTATCATCTTTATTATTCATAATCAATGGATATGTAGTACGTAGATAAGAATAAATATTATTTTCAAATTGTAACACTTCATATTGCATACGACCTAATTCACGTTTCCAATCATCTGTTGTAAAACGTTCATTTTGTATAATTACTCTGGATTGGAAAATAATAATAATAATAATAATAATAATACTGGTTAGACTGTGGTGACATGAATTGATACTTTTTTTATGATTATCATAGAACTTACACATATATTCAAGAAATAGAAAATGTTATAATAATGCTCCCTCTTTTTCTTATTACAATCCAACTATTCCTTAATGCGGAGTTACTGTTACGGGTATGAGGCCGGTTGTCGTTTCCCGGCTGCCCACACCATGGAAGGGTATTTCTTGAGGGAATTGAAAAGGAAGATAGATTGGTGTTGGTCTTAGAGACCTGGGTGCGTGGCCGAAGAGCCCAGCGGACAACTGCTTGAGGCCGGTCACGCACGGCATTTTGATGAAAGGGTTTTTTGAGGATTAGCTCCGCCCTTAAAAACCCTTAGTGGGCACCCTTACCCAAAAAGACGGAAATCCGTCAGGTAGGGTGAGGTGTGACATTTTTAGGGTCGAAATTTTCTAACCCTTCCTTCCTTGTAAGAAGGCAGCATCTCTGTAGATGCTGGTTGTCCGACGGAAACACCTTATTGCTGTCACAGTCCTCTACAGTCAACAGTACGACTTCGACCTTACACCCTGAGTAGCTGGTTTCAGTCTCATCGTTCTCCAATCGACCTGCCCAGCATGGTAGAACTTAAAGGAATATATGTTCCAGCCAATATAGCTTGTGGTTGGGTCATCACTATAGGCAAGCCCGACCACCACGTCAAGGTAATAGGTACGGTGTAGGAGTAGGTTGGAAGAAAGCTAGTGGCGGCCAAACCAAAACATGGCACAAATTCATGAAGCCACTGGCAAGTGGACTGAGTCTTGTTAGTAGTTGTAGACTACCTAGTCGGGGTCTGCGAGACGAAAGTCACCGACGGTTACAGACCTTGGACGACATGGCTCAAAATCGTTTGCAATGGCGCAGGTGCATCCAGTGTTTGTTTTCTCTCAAATTCTAATATTCAGAATTCCCCATCATCTCTATCCTTCGCTTCCTAAAGTTATCTCACTGAACTATACTTCATGAATAATATCTTTGATCCCTAATATTCTGCATTACGGCTAATTCTTCTATAATCTCTATCACTATGGGATTCGAACTGACAATTGCGTCTCTATGCTAATGCAGTATGGCAACCTGAATCGATGTACGAACGTAAGAAGTTCTACATTGTAACTGACTGACTGAACTATAACACAAAACATCGCTCGTTGAGGCATTCAGTGGTTGGGTGGGCATACGTAACACATGTCCCAACTACTTCAAATGATGAAGATTAAGCCAACTTCAAGTAATCGTGCTGAAAGTTGAAGAAATAAATGTTAAATTCCGACGGAATTATTAATCATCAACAGACTTGAATAGTGTATTACAATTTATGAAAGCGAAAAGATCATTTGATTGAAATCTACTACTGCTGTTTTGTTGTTAATTATATCATATTAGCTTTACAGGTACACCGGTTTCTTTCATGTTATAATAATAATAATAATAATAATCATGAGTGGAGCGCAATATGCCTAATAAAAATCTACAAATTATTGAACAGTAACTGGTAACAACCAATCAACATGACTCGACAATACAACAGCAAAACTAAATCAATTTATTGCATTACCTGTAAAAATCTTCATAATATCTATTTAAAGCATCCTGTTTAAATGACTGAGCGTATTCAGCGGGTACATCTAGGAAAAAATAAATAAAAATATTTGAATAACTAGTACAATCGATTACACACTTTGAAAAATGAAATATATAAACACATATAATTTAGCTACTATCTTGAAATACCAACAACGGTGGCCTGAATATGTTTCTTGAGTGTTATGCCGGTGATTTTCAAATCCTGCGTCGGTTAGGGGTTATGTTACGCATACACGTAAACACGTCATTTGATATGCTTTGTCGAAAAACAACAGTGGGGATAAAGGATCCGGCGACACGACAAGCCACTCTAATCCGAGTGTCTTGAGTAAAAACAGAAGACTTGATATGAAGTAGAACTTGTATTCTACAAGCATCCAGATAGTACGACGTCCGAGTCTAGAAGAGAATCAGGATCCCGGACTAGTGATTCGGGTCATAAAAGGTTACATGTAATGCGTATTTATACAGTCAGGTCGAATAGGAAACAGCATCGAAGTCTGTGACACTGACAGTTAAGACGACCAATAAGAAACAACATTGGAGTACGTGACATTGATATCTAGGACGACGATAAAATTGGCCAGTAGGAATTAAGCAATAGGAATTGACCAATAATTCTCTTAGTATATTGGATGAAAATCCCAACAGGATACTGTCCGGGTGCCAAAACCGAACCAGATAATTTTGCTAGCAGGTCACAACATCCCAAACCTATGACCTGCAGGTCTAATCCACAAGACAGTAAAGCAACGTTAGGAAATGCGGTCTAATGGTAGACGGTGACCATCAATAGGTTATTCACTTAGGATTCTGGAGTGCATGTACACCGACAATGTGAGACCAGAATTTTCCAATTCCCCTAGGTGAATACACCGTACCCAACAACCCAGTTTAAGATCTGGTTGGACAATCGCTTTTCATCGTCCTAATTTCGTAAGCAACACTTCGGCCACGAGAAAATAGTCAGTAGACCTTCTCTTGCAGTGGCTACACACACACACACGCTATGTGAGAGCATTTAGAAACAGGGCAGACTGTCGTCACCATGATGAAATTAAAACAAACTGATTACAGTAAACAGTTTTAAAAGATTTTATGAAAATTAGATGAGAAAGGAGTAAGCTTAATTACACAATGAATAAACAATCAATAAAATGATACAAAGAACTGGTATTACAGTAAGGTGTTTTTTACATATTAAAAGTTCATTATTCCTAATGATATATTTAAAAAGAGATTATAACTATTAAATGATAATTACAAATGTACAAGTAAAAAAAATTATCACTAACTATGAATTTAACCAATTAAAAGGATTTTCATTACAAAATTCTAGAGATTGTTGAGTTTTACTGAAATCACGAATTAACCATCGTTAGACCACTACTATTAGAAACCTCAAAGCCCTAGGCGGCCGTTTCATCCTAGTATGGGACTCATCAGCAGTGAGCATCCACCACTCCCACAAAAGGAAATCGAAACCAGAGCCCTCGGTCTTGCGCGCAAACGCTTAATCTCTACACCACTAAACCAACACCCGACGGTGTTAATGTCGGGTTAATGTTAATGCTCGTCTCTAGGTATACTTAAAACTTTTAAGGGTTCACCTTAGTCGAATAACGAGAACAAAACAATGAACCATCGTCCAGGTAGGCTAGTGTGATACCTTGACCAAATTGAATTAGCAAGAAATCTTGATATAGTGTAGAAATCGTATTCTACAAACACCCAACAAACAAACAATCAATCTAAGCAATCAAATTGCGTTTATTTATACACCATAGAGACGTCCATGGGACAGTCACAAAAATAACACACTAAAATAACACAGTAACCAATAACAGCCAAGGATTTTCCTGGTGGGAAATGCGATCTCAAGGTCAACTGATCGGTCCATGAAATAAATCCAAAATACAGATATTTATCAATCGAGTTCCGGGGGATCTAACATCCCCAACACACAACCTCACCCATTGTAGTCCGTGGGCAACTGCTTCACACCCGATAGAGTTGAACTCTAATGGTCAGGAGTTCGGGTCGTGGATATATCCACTGCTAATAAGACCCATACTAGGACGAAACGCTTGTCCAGTGCTTCCAGACTTCTAATCGTATTCTAACAATGATCAATTCATGATTTCAATTATAATAAATTGAAAATAAGTAAATTATAAGAATATATAACAGAATTTAAGGGGTAATATCATTTACAATCTATAAAACTTACTATCAATATAGATACGTGTAAAGAATACAACAGTAGTATCATGATTACAATTATTTTCCTAGAAAAACAAAAGATTAAACAATATTATTTGTTCAATTTTTTAATCAAATAAAAACTAACAGGCCAAAATTTCAAGAACAGTTTCGACAAGAATTTGAACGCTTTCTCCAAATACAAATCACCATTATTATCGAACCACCACATTTCTTGACTCATTTGTATGAAAATATGTATGACTGCTGTGGAAGAACGAAAAATAATCTTTAATGAATAATAGTCTTTAGTAAATCATCATGAATGAAACAAACTTTCGTTGTTGAATCAATATATCCACAGGAATATCTCTCGCCAAGACGCCATAAATCGCCAACTTGTGTTCTAATAAAATTAATTATTGTCTGAATTCAAAACAACAATAATAATACCTTGTTTCATTACAAGTCAGCTTTTTATTCACATGTACAACAGTACCAATCTATTTTATATGTGGAGAAGGCAATAAAATTTGAGGTGAAAAAAAACTGAATAATTACTAGTTTTTGTGTAATATTACAAAAATCTCTTCGACTGAAATATTGATCACGAAAGTATAATTCAACGAGATCCAAAGAAACAGCCTGTTACCACCCAAAATAATGAATTCGGAAGTTATACAGAGATTGAAGCTAAATCTAACCTCTTTATTCATCACATTGACAATGACATTTTTATGCTGTTGCAATTTGAATGTATGCGCAAGACTTTGTTCAATACTGATAACATCTACACAGTAAATCAATAAATCGATAAATCAATAAGGCAAAACTAAATTACCACGATTTTGTAAATCATCACTCAGTGTAGTAACTAAGAAAAGAGCATGATGTGCATCTTCAGCATGATATACTTCAATCACATCGCCAATATTAATATTATGCCCTCCTCTTGAACTAATGATAACATCTTCTGCAGGGATAATAAAAAGGTATGAGTACAACTAACCAGTAACGAAACTACGTGAATCATTACGAGAATGATAATGTAATTTGAATTTTTGTTTTAGCACCATACATAAAAGGTCTAAAATGAAAAAGCAGAGAAAATCTTTAGTATTATAAACATACAAGTAGGAACGCCTGTCGTTGAAAGGTGTACCAAAGAAGTACAAAGAAGTACAAACTCTCAACTCGAACACTACTGGTCGAGTGAAAGTTTATGGCGAACTGACACCGGAATTCTTTACTTCAAGTGGTGTCCGTCAGGGATGTCCACTTTCTCCATTCTTGTTTAATTTTATCATAGACATGTTGCTAGAAATAACCTTATCCTCATCTGAATTTTCAGGAGTAGACCTTTTACCTGGTGGCTCGCTTATTGACTTAGAATATGTCGATGACATTGTCCTACTTGGTGAAGATGCTGACAAAGTGCAGAGTCTTCTGACTACCATAAGCAACAATGCAAGCATATTCGGGATGAGGTTTTCCCCCTCGAAATGCAAAATGTTGCTTCAAGACTGGGTTGCATTGGCACCTGAACTAGTGATAAGGAGTGAAGTGGTCGAACGTGTAGATCGCTTCACTTATCTTGGGAGTCTCATCAGTGCTGATGGCCTGGTGACTGACCAAATCTCAGCTCGGATACAGAAGGCTCGATTGGCTTTCGCAAACCTGCGTCAATTATGGCGTAGGCGAGATATCCGTTTGCTGACTAAAGGACGAATATACTGCGCAGTAGTTCGCTCCGTCTTACTTTATGGCTGTGAAACATGACTAGTGAGAGTAGAAGATATTCGTAGGTTACTGGTTTTCGATCATAGAACTTAAATGACATGGCTCAAAATCGTTCGCAATGGCGCCGGTGCATTTATTCTCTGTGTTCTCTCAAATCCTAATCTTCTGAATTCTTCAACCCCTCTACTTTTGACTTCCTAAACTTTTCTCACTGAATCATGCTTCTTGAATAATATCTTCTAATCCTAACCTCTCCGATTACTTCTAATACCCTTACTACCTCTTCTACTATTGGATTTGAATTGACAATTACATCTCTGTGCTGATGTGGTATGGCGACATGAACTGATGTACTTACGTACGAAGTTCTACGTTGCATCTGACTGACTGACTGACTGAAAAGTAGGAATGAAGACAATATCATCGGTTATTTGTTAGTAATACTTACAACTTTGCTTCGAAACGTGCCTACTAAGTTAGAAATTATGAAAAACTGAAGTGAGGATAATACAGCGCTGTATTCTAAGCTATGAAAGGATTATTTATTGTATAAGATGTTCATAAAATTATCCAATTGTTTTTGCAAAGGAATCAGTCAGTCAGTCAGTCAGATGCAACGTAGAACTTTGTACATAAGTACATCAGTTCATGTTGCCATACCACATCAGCACAGAGAAGTAATCGTCAATTCAAATCCAATAGTAGAAGAGGTAGTAAGGGAATTAGAAATAATCGGAGAGGTTACGATTAGAAGATACTATTCAAGAAGTATGATTCAGTGAGAAAAGTTTAGAGAGTCGAAACTAGAGGGGTTGAAGAATCCAGAAGATTAGCATTTGAGAGAACACAGAGAATGAATGCACCGGCGCCATTGCGAACGATTTTGAGCCATGTCATTCAAGGTCTCTAACCATCGATTATTATCATCTCGCGGACCCCAACCAGGTAGTCGACAATTACCGACATGGCTCAGTCCACTAGTCAATGACTTCATGGATTTCTGCCATGTTTTGGTTTGGCCGCCCCTAACTTTCTTCCAAACTACTCCTACACTACAAAACAAAGCTCTTCGAGGCAGTCGGTGGTTCGGCATACGCAACACATGTCCTAACCACCTCAACTGATGAAGTTTCACCACTTCATCTATTGATCTGCCATTCTTACCTAGCACCCGTTTCCTAATAACAGCGTTGCTCACTCGGGTGTCCCACGATATACTGTAGTGAATGAGAACACAGGTGGAGGCAACCGAATTGTATTTAGCGAAAATTACAAAGTTACTCAGTAAAATCGGAAAACCATATCGTAAATCGTTCATTTGCAAAGGATCAGTTCATCCTATGGAACTGGACTGTTCCTGTTGCCAAACATCAATCCATTGTCACTCTTCATGCGTTTCAAACAAATTCCATTGTTTTCTGACTCTTCCTTTCTTGATCTTCCCCCCATATTATGCTACCAGACTTTACGTTGACACTCACGCTATATACTACTTATAAGTAGTTCGCACCACAGCACCACACTCGTCCCCCCTTTTAATCAGCTGTCGTCGTAGTCCTTCAAAACAGAGCTCCTGGTCAGTTAATATCACCTTCCGTATTCCGTGACACGCTACACTATGCCGGATTACCACTTCGGTCATCGTTCTTGATCACTGGTCTGGAATGGATACGGCATCTATCCAACGTGTAGCGTCCACAAGTTTCCGATGCTGGAACACGGCGGCAGGCACACACTCGATAAATTGCGACGCCAAAGACTGTGCCCCGTCCACTCCTCACGGCGCAATCCGGTGAGCTCCACAGCAAGCACCAACAGGTCACCATCGGCCGACAGCCGCGCCAACCGGAACCTCTGCGGCGCCTCCTCCCTGTCCGCTGGGCTGTCGAACTCCATTATCAGCCGCCCGGTGACCGTCTCCCACGCCGTCTCCTTGGTGGCACCGTCCAGGCTGTCGTGCACCGCCTTCGCCTCACCTCCCCACAGCGTCCCCAGCACCGTCAACTCCGCCCCAGGCCCCCACCAGCTCCACCGTGGCCCCAAACTCCTCCAGGAAGCTCCGCCAATCTCCGTCCTGCAACTCCTTCGGCCACGGGAGCCCCTTCCTTCGAGCAGGCAGCGACACCAAATGTAGTGAATGAGAACACAGGTGGAGGCAACCGAATTGTATTTAGCGAAAATTACAAAGTTACTCAGTAAAATCGGAAAACCATATCGTAAATCGTTCATTTGCAAAGGATCAGTTCATCCTATGGAACTGGACTGTTCCTGTTGCCAAACATCAATCCATTGTCACTCTTCATGCGTTTCAAACAAATTCCATTGTTTTCTGACTCTTCCTTTCTTGATCTTCCCCCCATATTATGCTACCAGACTTTACGTTGACACTCACGCTATATACTACTTATAAGTAGTTCGCACCACAGCACCACAATACGAGCAATGCTTCGAAGACACCTATGATCGAAAACCAGTAACCTACGAATATCTTCTACTCTCACTGGCCATGTTTCACAGCCATAAAGTAAGACGGAGCGAACCACTGCGCAGTACACTCGTCCTTTAGTCAGCAAACGGATATCTCGCCTACGCCATAAGTGACGCAGGTTGGCAAAAGCCAATCGAGCCTTCTGTATCCGAGCTGAGATTTCGTCAGTCACCAGGCCATCAGCACTGATGAGACTCCCAAGATAAGTGAAGCGGTCTACACGTTCAACCACTTCACTCCCTATCACTAGTTCAGGTGCCAATGCAACCCAGTCTTGAAGCAACATTTTGCATTTCGAGGGGGAAAACCGCATCCCGAACATGCTTGCATTGTTGCTTATGGTAGTCAGAAGACTCTGCATTTTGTCAGCATCTTCACCAAGTAGGACAATGTCATCGGCATATTCTAAGTCAATAAGCGAGCCACCTGGAAGAAGGTCTACTCCTGAAAATTGAGACGAGGATAATGTTAACTCTAGGAGCATGTCTATGATAAAATTAAACAAGAATGGAGAAAGTGGACATCCCTGACGGACACCACTTGATGTAGAGAATTCCGGTGACAGTTCGCCATAAGCCCTCACCCGACCAGTGGTGTTCGAGTAAAGAGCTTGTATGAGGTTAATGTACTTCTGTGGTACACCTTTCAATGACAGACACTGCCACAGAACCTCACGATCAACAGAGTCAAATGCCGCCTTAAGGTCTAGGAAAACAACTATTGTAGGACGCCTAAATGTGTGTCTATGTTCCAGGACCTGTCGTAGTGTGAAGACGTGGTCTATACAGCCACGTCCAGGTCGAAAACCAGCCTGGTTTTCTCGAGTCTGCTCTTCACGAGCTTTCGTTAAGCGTCGAAGTATTATTGAGGCCAATATTTTAGATACTATATTAGTTAGACTTATTCCTCTGTGATTGTCACAAGAAGACTTTTGTCCTTTCTTATAGATTGGGACAATCAAGGATTGAGACCAGTCGGATGGGATTACGTCCAGTTCCCAGATTTTACCTAAGATCTCAGTCAATCTAGCTGCTAAAACTGGACCACCATCCCTGAATATCTCAGGGGTCAGTCTATCAGGACCTGCAGCTCGTCCTCGTTTCAGATTTCCTAAGGCTTTCTCAACGTCATTAAGACTAGGGGGACTTACGTCGATTTGCCATTCAGGATGACTGGAGATCGTGGGTAACCGAAGAGTGGCTCGTGGCCAGTTGAACTGATCCCTAAAGTGTTCTGCCCATCGATCCAGCCTCCTGGATTGAGAATGGATAATAAGACCATCCTTTTCCGAGATAGTCTCACTCACGTTCGGGTTCTTAATACCTGTTTCTTTGATAAGGCGGAAAAGTTGTCTAGTGTTGCCTATCGCCGCTGCCTTTTCCATCGCTTTTGCTTTCGCCACCCACCACTGTTCGCGGTCGTTACGCAGACTTTTTATAAGTCTGCGCCTAAGCTGACTACGCTCTTCATCATGTTCAGAGTCAGGTGGGATGCGTTTTCGAGCATCCATCAGTTCGGTGGATGCGACTGAAATCCACGGCTTCATCCTAGCCTTATGGTTTACCTTCCTAGCAGATATCACTGCTGTTTCCACAGCCTTTTTGATATCATACCAACCTGCTTCTGGATGGGAATCGCTTGCATGGTTGCTTAACTCTCTTTCTAGTTGCTCCTGAAATATTTTCTTGGTTTGATTATCATTAAGTAAAACCCTAAGAGGCTTTCTTACGGTGTCTTTCCTACGTCCAGTAAGCCTTAAACAGATACGAGCTCGCACTAGAGCATGATCTGAATCCAAACATGTGCTCCAGAACGAGCGACAGTCTTCTATCGAACCCCTCCATCGGTGGCTGATGGCG